ACATATAAAAACGTAAAAATTATCAGATTGTAAAATCATTGTGTTCTTTCAGTGTACCTTTAAAACAAATTATGCAAATTATTACTCTGAACCTTTCTTTTGTTTTATCCTTTTAGAATTCCTCTGTTAAATTATACTAACCCTTTCTCTATCAGTATATTTTTCTTCTTATAAGATGTTCGATCTTCAAAAGTATCTGGTGTATGATTTTTCCCACATGTAAGGTTTCTAAACTTCTCCGATGTCTCACATGCCTGTTGGCTTTTAGCGGTTTATATCCTGGGCAGATATATACCTATATATCTCTACATAACCCTGGAGTTTTCCTTTTTCCCTGGAGTCCAACTCCTGTGTCTATGCAATCACTCTGCCTTAGCTTTTAGCGGTCTACCCTCTTGGGCGAATATGTCCTCATATTCCTGGAGAAATTTCTTTACCATCTCCTGCTCCGCCATATCCAGATGCCCACATTCAACCTTTGAATGTCCTCAGATGAGCTTGAGTGTACCCCATCTGAACTTGAGTGTACTCCTCCTGAGGATTACCTATCCGACCTTGAAGGAGAAATGGTCATAACGCTCGAGCCTCATTCTTTACAGGTACCGAAGTATGAAAAATGTGGATTTTAATATTGTCTGTTGTGTGGCTGTCCATTCAGTATGCAAATAACGGTTATCTATTGTGATTTTTGAAAGATTATGATAGGTTTTCTATTGTAGCCGTTAACTGTAGAAATGTTGACGGCAAAGTGGTTCAGTGGTTAAGACTATAGTGTGTGCAGGGACCCGGGTGTATACAGATACACTACAATCATAACCAGGTAATTACAATACTATTGATTTCTTCATGAGTTTAACTAGTCAGGGTTGCATGCAACCAAGCCTTGATCCTCCGGTCTGCGCTAAACCTTAGGCGTTAAACCCATGAGTACTTTCTAGTCTATTGTTTTTTATTCCAAGGGTTATTCGCATACATGTTCTGTCTATTGCAATCTTCGAATTGAGGGTTCGAATTTTCCGTCCTACGGCGTCCATGAGCGTTTCCGCCTTCTCTGTGTAGAGCCGTTATGTATAAAGATCCTTGCTTCACCTAACTTGCGTAAAATCGCCAACTAGAGTGGATCCAGTGCTACTAGCTGTGGGCGATTCTCCTTTCCCCCACCTGCTACTGCCACTGTCTTTTATCCCAGACAGCAATTCAAGGGTTCCTCCCTCCGAATTCTCAGCACGCTCTGGTCGATAGTTTCTTACGCCATCACTGACCTCCTTATCAGTAAACGCAGGTTCAGCACTCATTGTCGTGAATGACAAATCCGTAAATAAATTAGGCGTACATCTGATATGTCCACACTCTATCCTCTATCTTCCTTGCACTAAAATCTCTTCCTTTCGTGCAATAACTTCCTTCTGTTTACCCGTGCTTTTCGGAGCATGTCTAGGCCACCTCTAGTAAGTCCCTAGACCAGATTCAACGTCCTGTATATAGTTTTTAGGATCCGTTGATCCGAACCCGATAGACCAATTTGCTGCTAGTGAATTACATCGCCTTCTCCACAACCTTACATGCATAACCCAGTACCCTATCTAAATCATTGTCGAAAAACCATTCTCTTATTTTCGACGACTACTTTTTAAAACACCCTCGTAGTTTCTCGTTTCTCCCAATAACCTACGACCAGTGTCATAAAACTGACCGGTAATACCTCCGTCGCTCAGGTATCTACTCTTGATGAAAAAAAACCTTAGGGTATAAATATACAATCATACTGATATAGCCGTTGGATTCCTTATTTAATTTTTCTTAATTGAAAACAAATCTTACTTGTAGGTAAGTTGCAAAAATAAATGAAATAAATACAAAAGATGAATAATAAATTAAGTATACGGGAGAATTAAGATTGTCCCAAACCCTATCATAAACATAAAAAAATGCAACACAAAAAAATGCTTTAAAACCTTGTCTAGCCAAGTTATACCTATTACTAGAACTGTCTCCGTTCTTACAACCGTAATAAAACTTGTCGGCCTTTCCCGAAACGTAATAGCATAAAAAAAATATATCCAAATTAAAATATTACCTATAAATTAGCTATAGGAAAAACATACGTATTCACTTTACTTCTGAATAAAACAATAAGGGTTTACGACAATACTTAATTTATATGACGACATGGGAATACTTTTAGCATGTCGAAAGAGTTCGGTTTAATCTTTCATGCTAATTACAAAAAAAAATCCATGCAGTTTTAGTTACTATAAAAACTATGTACTTCGTTGATTGCTATGAGAAGGATAGCTAACAGATTTTGCTTCTAGAGACTGGCTGTGCGATTTCCTTGCCATGATATTTACGCTTTAATTCCCGTTAATTACTTTTCCGCAATCTATTTACTAATAACATTCAAGTTTCCCTAACTTAAAAAAATAAAGGTAAAAACATATCTATTTAATCTTCATGATTTTTCTTAAAACAAAATACTATTCTCAAGAATTAAATATTCTGATTTAACGCAAATTCTACTTTAAACAAAAACTATTCTTGCAATTATTCTTTAAGAGAAAAAAAAATTAAAATCAACAAAACCAAAATTATTTAAATTTTCTACGTAATTACTCTTATCGTTGAAACAAAAAAAAATATAGAATGCATTTCCTAAGTCTGTAATAAAATCAAATATCATGAACGAAATTACTTTAAATCCATAATTTAAATTTTTGTTAAAAAAAACTCAAAATATCTTGTGCCGCCGCTATATCTAAAACCAAAATACAATAAACCAAGACAAAACATCAAAAATAATAGAATTCTAACATTTTTATCACTAAGATCCATTAACAAACATACCAGAAAATAAATTTCAAATGGATTATAAAAATATTCATTCAACTTATTACAATTATCACCTTAATAGGATAACTATTAATATTCAACTAATACTGTTAAAGTCACAAAAATAAGTTAAAAAAATCGAGAAAAATAAATTTAGCCTTTTCTTCTCAAGTTAAAACAAAAATAAAACCAAAAACAAGAATTACGTACTACAAATTAGTTTTCCAAGATTCCCTTAGCTATAACCAAATTTTAAATCAAAAATATAATCAAAAGGAATAATCTAGGTCCTACAAATTAATTATTTTTGTATCCCCTGAGCTGCCACCAAATTTTATGTGACAAATCTTTTCGGATTAGTCACTTGTCTATGGGTAGCTGACTATTTTATAATTATGAAAAACAATTAAGTTGAACGGAAGGCAAACTTGGATAAAAAGTACACCGACTCTTTGGAGCGTATGTTTAATGCTTTGTCTTAGTGCCTGTTAGTCTCTCAAATCTATTATAACTTACCTTAATTACGGCCCGACCTCTGTCTGTAAATATGTAGCTCATTTCTCGAGACTTTTCGGGACTGCTCTGGAGATATTCTGCCCGTTCATAAGGATCTTATTTGTATACTTTTAAAACACTCTTGGTTATTTTTTACTATAGAAATAAAACGGCCCAGTTTTTAGAAAACATTTAAATTTAATATTAAAAAGAAAATAAAGAACAAATAAAAAAAATATATATATGATCGAAATTACTTGTTATTACTAAAAATGGAAAATAGATGGAAAAATACAAGAAAATTGTCTGGTGTCTGCTTTGTTGAAAAATCTGATAATTACATAATCAATTGAACCTTCATTACTAAATCTTACTACAACACATTAAAATAATTTTAGAGAAGAAAATTAAAAACATTTGACAAAAGGACATAAAAAAATACTATTAGTAGACACCAGACTTAAAAACTACAGGGGGTCACATCGTGAACCTAACCGAATTTCGCGAACCCGAGGGAGAACCGTCTCTTTTAGAAACTTAAACCGAACTAACTTTTCTGCCTAAAAACAGCCCCGAGGTTCCAACATTACAGGGCTGAAGGGTGGTGCATTCGGTACTTCGCCAATAGGATCATCCCTAAAGGTACTGTTCTTTGCTTGATTGGTCAGCTTGACACCGCCCTTCAAACCAAATTGGTTCGACCTCCCGTTGTTAGATGGCAGTACTATGACCATTTTACGTATCTAATCCTAGTTTACGTCTAGATACGTGCTTTCCTAAAGTTCCCAGATCCTTTACAAACATCCGGCGATAGTTACATGTTATCAAGGGTGGTTATTGGTTTTACAATGTCCCAGCGTTTTTATCTAAGGTCTATCTTTACAATTTTCTGTTTACTTCTAAGTTCTACAGTTTATTTGCTTTGCCCTTCTATAAGTTTGGGAATTTAAAAATAGTTTCGTTTGAAAGATGTTTGTTTTATTACTTCCTGTTAAAAGACCCTCTCCCGAAACTAATAACCGAAAACATCGACTTGAACGTAAAGGACATAGGAAATTATCTGTTAATCATATAAATAATAATATAAAGGAAATAATCTGTTACAGTTGGAACCTTTGGTGTTACACAGCAAAATACAACACTAAATCACCACAATACACCAATGCTGATGATGCTAACATGGTTAGCGAAACGCGCGACCAGTGTAAAAAAGTAAAACTGTTTCGGTGTATTGTGGTGATTTAGTGTTTTATTTTGCAATTGAGATGTTAATAACAGTGAACAATAAACGATGCCTTAGTGAAGTCATGGTAGGCTTTGGAAAAAAGTTGGTTTTGACATAATAGTATAAACGTCAAATTGTCATTAGATCAACATTTTAATAGTCTCAGCAGCGTTTTTTATCTTATTATATGTAATTAATAATTATTACAAGGAGTAAAATTTTCAGTGTATACGCTGGTTTTTAATTTTTTAATCCGTTTTACCTGACAAGCAAAAAGTTAGACAGATCTAAGACGGATCCAAACCGAAACGATACACAAACCAGATGTAAACAGAAAAATTCTAGGTTGCCACTACTTGTACTAGGAATGGTTCATATACTAAATGTTTATTTACCGTATGAATTACAAGTTACAGTTTCAAACAATTTCAAATATATATCTTTGTTTCAGAGGGTCTAACATATCAATTTTACATTTACGAAGCACGTCGGAACCGTGGGAGAAGAATCAACATTCGAATTATTCATCAGCCGCTCGGTCGTACTTCGCGTCATCTCGCAGTACTACTACCGCTAATGTACCATCATCGGTAAGTCTTTCAATTTATTTATTTATTCCTTTTTTGGATCGCAACTTCTGAATATTTTTATTTTACGACAACGAAAAAACATTCCAAACATAGGAGAATGAAAAAAAAAATTAAAAAACTCATTCTGTACTCTTAACTCCATATTATTGCCTATATATAATTTGACCTCAATTATTTTTAAGGTACCGCCTTTAACGAAACATCAGTCCTTAGGGAGCACTACTCATAAGTGGACGAATTCACCGAGCTTCCATTCGGGATCCGAAGTCAATTCTCCTGGAATATTTACATTTAGTGGCAGTTGTAATAGGGAGCTTTCGCCTGTTAGGTATGTTATTTTTATCTTTTTTTAAGTGAAACTTCTTTACGCGCGATGGGAGTAAAAATTCAAGGCCATGACACACTACGGCCTTGACACGATAGGTCCTTGACACGAAAGGTCCTTTACCATGCCTTGATGCACGAGCTAGCGAGAAAAAAGGTGGTAAGGGTCGTGCAAATACCAAAAAAACATTTGATTTAAAGCTAAGAAAAGCATTATAATAAACTTACTACTGTACCTGGGTCCCTGGGTATCAATATCCTCTGTACTAGGAAGTAAATTTTTATGCATATTTTCATCTATAGGTTTGTAGCTTCGGAATAACAGTCTAGGTATCTAGCTTAGAATTAGAATTATTAGATTTAAGTAACTTGCGTTTTCATTGGAGGTCATCGTCATATTTATTTCAAACCAATATCACGACAAATCACATCAACCAGAATATTTGTATAATTTAACAAAATTATTGTAAACCACTATAAATACAAATTGTTGGTTAGATTCAAAATTTTTTCTTAAATAAATTTAAGCGTTGACATTATTAGGCATTTGCATAAAAGTGTGTATTTTGGGTTGGCATTCTACAAAATTTGCGGGCTATTGAGAAAACAGAAAATGTACAGATTACAGAAATAAATTGAAAATAATATTTACATATACAGGGTGGCCCATCAAAAACGTTCCGCAAGGCATAACGGCCAGGGAAAAATTACCCGAAAAATTTCAGAAAATTCAAAAACACGTCAATTTTGTTTGTGAGGGTGACAACTTTTGCCTCAAAAATTATTGCAAAATCTTCAACCCTCTAAGCGGGGGTGTCATCCCCCGATTTTTTTCAAATGGGAAGAGGGGTGAAGTGGTACCGCAGTGAAAAGGGCTTTCTATTCTCTATACTTTCCTGCTTCGTTTTTGAAGATCGGTCGAGTCGTTGGGAAAATATGAAGGATCGAAATTTGTGCAATTTGCTGTTTTTTCTTATTATTTCTAGATGTTTGCAATCGGGTTGCGCAGATATTCAATGTACGCCATCCTGACAAACACCTTTATGGCAAAATTGTTCGCCAGTTAGTAGCAAAATTTCGCGAAACTGGTTCCGTTATGAATAAAGAGAGGCAGAGGGAAAATCCTCTAGTAAATGAAGCTATGGAGGTATTCGTATTGGGCCAAGTTGCCATGGACAGTATTCTGAGTACAAGAAAATTAGCCAATGAGACCGGCGGGAATCGTTTTCAAAGGATTCAAGTTTCCAAAGGATATTAAAAAAACACAAGTTCCACCCGTACAAAATTCAGTTGGTACAAGAACTCAACGAAGACGATTTTGAACGTGTGGGCTGGTATTTTTTGAAATTCTATTGTGGGTCAGTTTAACGATATTGAGAAGAACTTCAACGTACAAGTCACAGAACAGCTATCTAGCAACTACCGCACCTGCTCGTTCAACGTTGTGGCAAGTGAAAAAATCCGTAAACATCTAGAAATATCTTGGTTGTTTGTTGAGCGATCTTTTTCATTTTTGGCAGGAAGCTGTATAGCTATAAGACGTACATTTTGCCCAGGGTAAGAAATGCGATACCTCATAGACGTACGTTTTAATGGGGTTTGATATTTTTCGAGTCAAGAGTAAACTACCCTTAGGACAGTATTTATTTCAAATCTGATAAATTATATTGAATCTTCCTTACCTAAGATACTAAAGTTCTAATTTTGATAAATATTGATACAGGGTGCGTCATTAAAATAAGACATTTTTATTTTTGTTATTCTTTTTTTAAGTACTTACGACGCTACTGGATAAACAACAGGTTTACAATCAATAACCAATTATCAATTAATAGTCGATTTAGTTTTCAGATAGCTTCCATAATAACACAGATAATAATTAAGATACGATACAAAAAAAACTAAATATTTTCAATTTATTTTGTTTACTTTAAAAAAATTGTTTTTTTTAAGTTTGCTAATACAAATAGAATAAAATGAGTTACAAAATAATTTAAAAACCCAGTTTTCAATGGAATCTGAAATATGATTTTTATTCGTTTTATTGAGGAATCCAAATAGTTAGATATTTAAAACAATCCCTATTAACTTTGAAAAATATGCTCTAAACAAAGATTTATAAAAGCTGTACTTAAACTGCCGTTAAACGGTAGCTTACTAAAATGCCGTTAATAGGTATGACGTCGTTGATGTGACGCACTTGACGGCTTTATGAAATATAGGAATTTTATAAGGACTAACCAACGCTATCCACCGCACCAAATAACCAACTTAACCAACGCAACTAACCTCGACACTGATAAAAAATATAAAAAACAAATATAAATTAGTAAAAATCAACCAACTCCACCAAATAACCACGCTAACCAACCCGCCAAATAACTAAACCAATCCAACCAAAAAGAGTGAAACCAGTGCAATAAGATCACGCTATAAGCAAAAAAAATATAAAAAAGTCTTGGTCGGCGTGAGATTTGAACCACGGACCATTCGCTTACGAAGCGATAGCCTCAGCCACTGACCCACAGGTGCTCTTGCAAAATGCTTAAGGCTAGGCATTACTTTCTGCCGACATAAACGACGTCACAATATCTATTAACGGCATTTTAGTAGGCTACCGTTTAACGGCTGTTTAAGTACATTGATTTATAAAACTATAACGAACTAAAAGTCAATATCTTCGGCCAAACCACCATAAAAAACGATTATTAATTGATAATTGGTTAAAATTGGTTATTGATACTAAACCAGTTTTTTATCCAGTGGCATCGTAAGTACTTAAAATATAATAATAAAATTAAAAATGTCTTATTTTAATGACACACCCTATGTAAATATTTATCAAAATTAGAACTTAAGTATCTTAGGTAAGGAGGATTCAATATAATTTATCAGATTTGAAATAAATACTGTCCTAAAGGTAGTTTACTCTTGACTCGAAAAATATCAAACCCCATTAAAACGTACGTCTATGAGGTATCACATTTCTTACCCTGGGCAAAATGTACGTCTTATAGCCATACAGCCTCCTGCCTAAAATGAAAAAGATCGTTCAACAAACCACCAAGATATTGGCTAGTATCCATCTTAAGTGGGACACCCTGTAGATAGAGAAATTTATTTATATAGCTAGCGAAATAACAATTTCAATCAAATTAGTAACTCCACAGATTAAACTTCAAATATTATTTTAATTAGCTAATGAATACTATACGTGAAATAAATTTCGAATAAAGTAAATAAGAAAAATAATAAATCAACACATTGTTTTGTATGTCTATATTTGAATTAATAATTAATTAGGACGAAAATGTTGGAAATAAATTAGAAAATATATATTTTTTTTTGTTGCAAACGCAAATGCAAATAATGCAAACACGTGTATGAGGCTTGAACGTAAAGAGTAGCACTTCAGTAACCGATAGTCAAGCAGCCTTAAAAGCGATATAACCGATAGAGCAGTAACCATTCATTCGAAGTTGGTCAAAAAATGCTTAGAGAAGATGAACAAATTAGGCAAAGAAAATAAAGTCCACCTACTCTCGGTGCCAATCCACCGGATAGAAGACAATGAAAAAGCAAACGATCTAGCTAAAAAAAGGAGAGAATACTCTACTAACTGAACCAGGAGTGTTGTGCTTTCCAACTGGAAAACAACTTAAACAGTACAGAAGAGCCTGGATGACTCCATACGGAATCTGAATGGGAATCCTCCAACTCCAACGCTCTAAGACAATCAAAGACAGTTCTAGGAACAGAAATAAATAAAAGATTTTCTTTAATTTAAGTAAGAACAAAGAACAATCTTCGAACAAATCTCATGGAAAAGTCTCGCAACACAGTTCTTTCATTACAAAAAGTTGTGAGATTTCATATAAAACTAAGTCAGGTTTTAAAAGTGTCTTTGGAAGCACCTAATAATAACAAAAGTTGTTGAATAACAACTTTGTTATAAGTTATTTTTCAAAATATGTAGCTAATGATACGAACTTTCAAAATAATATACAGGGTGAGTCTTAAATAAGTGCAAATATTTTCAGGGTTAGTAGATCTCGATAAAAGAAACATATTTTCTCTTTACCATTTTTCAAATAAGTCCAAAATAACCGAGTTATTTAAGTTTGAAATTTAAAAAAATATATATTTTTTTTGAAAAATTTTGAGAGCCATCGGATTTTTTCTGTATGTGCATCCATTTTAGTTCCGTAACCATAGAGTAAAGCTGTAACTATCAGAGCCTGGGCACTCTCTAGTTTTTCAACTACTCACGAGCGGCGCTTAAACAATATTTTAGGTTGGTATTTAAATCTTGATGTTGGCAACGGATGTCAAGTCAAAAGTGTCATTTGTCGTCGTTCTGTTTTGTCAGCTGTTTTCGAATATTGGCGCCAAGGATATATAGAATAAGGATATTCGACTGGCCCAAAAAAAACGTGCCGTATTTTGTCGAGGAAGACGATTTCGTCACGACCAATGGGCGTCGAGTATTTGAAATTGAAAACATATAAATTGACGGTAACCTATGTTTTTTGACTCATTTCACTGACAAATGTGATGAGATTGTTATTGTAATTTATAGATCCAAAATCCAAACGTTTTTTGAATAAATAATTTATTTTAAAGTTATTTCCTAGAGGTTTGGTTTGGCCTTCTATATTCTGGTATTTGTCTACTAATAAATAATCTTATTTTGTATTTCGATGTATGGAAATCCGCAAGTTTTGTATCTGAAGCCGCAAAGAAATTTCGCTCTATAGTGAGAAAAATGTTATATCTTTTTAGACGCGTAGAATAACAAAATTTCTTATTTCAGATGTTCTAAATGTGAGTGCTTAATGTCAAAAATTAAAATATATACTTGAAATATTTCAAGTTATACCCTTTGCCCTTTGGAAGTAAACAAATATTGAAGAAAGTGTTGTGCCTTCACAGAATTTAAATTGGCATTAGGAATAGATTTCCTTGATTTAGTAATGATATTGCTCATAGAAATTGATAATATACTATTTTATATTCACTCGTTCAAGTGCTGATCTATTTTTAAATTGAATATTTATGTAAGTATTATGTATAACACGATATAAATAATTTAAGGACATAAGAAATTAAAATTTCAAGTGCCAATATTGATTATTTTTCCAGTTTTATTCAAATATATTGAAATTAATATGGAAACAAAAGTTCATAAATATTAGTTTGAAAAGCCATGTCAGAAGAGTAGGATTAAAGACAAAGTATTAAGGTAACATATATTTGCATAAAGTTTTAATAACACTGACAATTTTATTTGTTTATGTTTATTAATTAAAATTTAGTTGCAATTTATTTCATATTCTAATATTTTTGAGAAAATTTTACTTAGATACATACCTGAATATTATGCTGCTTTTTTATTTTAAAGTGTGCCGACTGTGCTGTTATTTTTATACTAGTAATATTGTATACTGTAGGTATCGTATTCATATATAGTTATATATATATATATATATATCAGTAGTATAGATACTTACTTTCTTTCTATGTGTACTTATATCCTTTATAGTCTTTCTAAGTGCATATAATACTACTTTTTTAAGAGAAGGCAGTTTTTAATAATCTATTGTTAATTCCCCTAATTCTGTGTCCCCTGGTTCTGCTATACAACAATTATATATTTTCTTATCATTACTGATTTTAAAAGTTTCTTTTCAAAGAATTTAACCATATATTTTTTTTCAGAGTAATTGGGCTGTTCCTGAACAATATTGAATATAAATATTCAAAAATATGATTGATAACTGCATATCCTACTAAGTAGATCAATACCAAAATCCCATTAGAGAAATAAGTTAAAATTATGTTTTACTTGTATAATTTTCTTGCTATTTGTCCACCATTATTTGTGACTTAGAAATTAAATAGTCAAAAAGAATTTAGTACCAGTTTTTATTTCCCAAAAAAATTGTTAAATAATTACATATTGCTTAAGATACAGTATATTATATTGTGTTTATAGTTGATAATTCTAGTTCTTAGTTGTTTATAGTTGATAATTAACAATATTTCTGATGTTAGATATTATAGGTATTAGATAAAAAATTTAATTACCAATAGCTATCTACCTATGTAGCTGCAGATTATATATTGTGTAGTAGGTACTGTATAATTCTTTAGTTCAAGAAACAAATATCAGTACAAGTATATAACCAAAAAAATGTTGATGCAAATTCTTTGTATAACATACGTACCCCTATGGTATTCAACTTTTCATTGTTCTTTTAATTAGATACACAATAAGCACATTAATTCGTTTATTAAACAACCAAAACTCTAACTACTTAAATTCACAATATAAATATCACAATAAATGTATAAGCTTTGATCAATTCCTATTATTAATACCCGACGACTTCATACTTTATAACTACCAATGGCTATCCTACTAACACACTAGCCAACTAATAATAAATCTGTTCTAAAAAAATACAACATAAAGACATCGTTATTGCAATAATATAGAAATATATTCCATGTATCATTAACTACCTAGGTATAAATACAATACCCACATCTTCTTTTAAGCGAATAGTGCGTTAGGAGGCAGAAATATTGCCTGCATTGTACATCGTACAAATTGGATAGAATATATTAATATCCATTGCAAACATTTCTCTTTCAAAGGGTCTAAATGTTTTGTCTTTTTACTGTGTCCCTGTAATATGTTATCAATTAACAACAGTTATCAAATATGACCTGGACAATAATAATTGTTTTACCTTTTTTTCAAACTAAACTCTTTAAACAAACTATATAAATAAAATTTATCTCATAACCTAACTTGCTGCTAGAATTTCTTTCTTGTTATTCTATGTTCCTGTATTGTTATTCTTCACATTATCAATTTCTATGAGCAATATTATTACTAAATCAAGGAAATCTATTCCTAATGCCAATTTAAATTCTGTGAAGGCACAACACTTTCTTCAATATTTGTTTACTTCCAAAAAATGTCAAAGCATATAACTTGAAATAATATTTCAAGTATATATTTAAATTTTTGACATGCACTCACATTTAGAACATCTGAAATAAGAAATTTTGTAATTCTACACGTCTAAAAAGATATAATAACATTTTTCTCACTATAGAGCGAAATTTCTTTGCGGCTTCAGATACAAAACTTGCGGATTTCCATACATCGAAATACAAAATAAGATATTATTTATTAGTAGACAAATACCAAAATATAGAAGGCCAAACCAAACTCTAGGAAATAACTTTAAAATACATTATATTTTCAAAAAACGTTTGGATCTATAAATTACAATAATAATCTCATCACGTCTGTCAGTGAAATGAGTCAAAAAACATAGGTTACCGTCAATTTATATGTTTTCAATTTCAAATACTCGACGCTCATTGGTCGTGACGTAATCGTCTTCCTCGACAAAATACGGCATATTTTCCTACATAGCCCGCTATAGGGAGTTGAATATCCTTCTTCTATATATCCTTGATTGGCGCCTATTTTGCGAATCTCTTCTTTGTGTTTAATATTGCTTAAATTTGTTTTTCTTTAGTGTATATATGTTCTTGTTGTAATATTAGTGTATACTGCAGTTCTAGCATTAATGTAAAAAACTGATATTTTCACACTATAGAACTTATTTACTAGTTATTGGTGCAAACATTGTTTGGTTAAAATGTGGTTAAAATAGTGATTTATTATAATTGTTGTGTGCCCAATTGTTCATGAAGGAATAATAAGGGATGTAAGGCTCATAAACAAATAAATATTATATCACTGTTAATTTATTTCCTTATGTTCCCAGCCGCCATTAATTTTTGAAAAATTGTTCTAAGACTGGAGATTATGTCAGTGTAAGTATTTAAAATTAAATAATTTTAAATAAATAATTTAATTATAGCTAGTTTACACTGACTAGTTCTCCAGTTTTAGGACAATTTTTCAGAAAAATGAAAAATTGTTTATTAATTAATTTGGGAAGCCCGCGCTAGCGACATTAGCGCTTCGGTGAGAAGTTGAAGAAACATCACGACCTTCAATTTGAGTGTCCAATCTATTTACTTTTATCATCTATGGTAACTATGGTAATATCAGTGATTAAGAATTTATACCGTGGGAAAACAGGCAGTTCTAAAAAGTTTTCGAAAAATATACAGAGAAATTTAAGAAAATGCACGATTTTAAACATTTTTTTTGCGAAAAAAAACTCATAGACGTGTTCCTGGGGTCGAAATATACCACCCCTGAAAATATTTGTACTTATTTAAGACTCACCCTGTATAATCATCACAGTATAATCAATTAACTATCAATGTTCATATTGATCATTGGACATGTTTATTTCTATAATAATTATAATGACTGGACAATTGCACGGTCACATAATCCACTTATCAAAACACTTTAATCTTAGATACACATGAAGACAAACCACTTAATCCTATGCAAAATTACACACGAAAATCGGCACCTAAGGCCAGAAATGCCAACCCGGTATACATTGAATTTCCTATTTAATGTCATTTTAATGTGGTACAGAGATATGGAAATATATTTTTTTCTTCTCCCCAAAAAAGTTCTAGGGGCATTTCACCACTGTAAAAAAATCTACAAAATAAAAAAGCGATTTTTTGTAAACACTGCTGCGTTACTCCAACGGAGACTAATTGTCAGCAGTGGCTTACTAATTAACAAATTTGCCCAACGGACAAAAAAATGCTTAACATTTTGGAAAGTATGTCTCTTTCCGTCATCAGAAGCAAACAAATACAAAGAACAAAGAAAAAAAACTATTTAAAATATATTCGAGAACACTTTAGTTTTTTAAAACAGATACGTCTACAAAAACCGTTGACGTTCTGTTAAAATGACATTATATCAAGTTAAATTTCAAAATTAACAATAATTATTACCTGATAACTATTACTTAATAAGGTAAAACCAAAAAGCTTTAAACTTTCTGTATGATTATTTTTAATTTGTTTTTAATTTTTACGTATATTATGTTCTTTAAAATCAAAGAAGCGATTGCCATACATTACTAATAAGATGATGTTTTTTATTGTTTTCCTTTGATAACAATTTTATAAAACTATTTTGTGTCTTTATTTATAGATTTATATAGGTATGAAATTCGTGAAGTAAAAATTTCAATGAAACCTCTCACACAGCTGATACAAATTTAAATGAATAAATATTTTAATTCGGGAAATTTAATTACTTTAGTTATTTATTGAATTACACGTTTGCATGTTTTTGACGTCAAATAAAATAATTAAATATTAAAAACTACGAATAAGTATTTAAATAGAGAATTTTCGGAGTAATATTCTAAAATTATTTATATTTACTGTTCCATTTTTTAAATTATATTTAGTATAATATTTTTAGATCTTTATAAAATTTTTAGATTTTTATAAAATTTTTATAATCTAATTTTTTTGTGCCAGTAGTAGATACACATAGTTATATAGCAATTAGAGTATACATAAATAAGTTCCAATTCGGCATGCCAAGGATTTATTATCTCTTCAATTGTTTTCGTTCACTTCCTGTTTCTCAGAAAGCTACTACAACTTTTGATTTTTAAATGACACCCTCTGTACTTTGTTAGTTCATTCAATAGATAATGACACTCTGAATAGAATAACATATCATATGTCAACTTTTGACATTTTCGCATATGGTTTATTTGAAGTTATAACTTGCGGTTCGTAACGAAAATTTGCCTCGAAATACCGAGTGTGTGGTATCAAATTATTCGTAAAAAATGCTTTTTCTAAATATGCTAATGAGCCACCCTCGTATCATTTGAAAAAATTGAGATATGATTAAAAGTACGATTTGGACATCTTTTAACCGGACAAGACACTAAAAACATCAGACGATCAAATTTATTTTTCCAGAGCTCCTTGATTAAAAATTAGTGCTTTTAATATAGCCATGGCACTCTAGACGATGCCTTTTTAAGTGAATATATGTCAAAAGTTGACATATGATATGTCATTTTCTATCAAATAAAGAAAACAAATACCGAAGATACCATTTAAAAATCGAAAGTTGTAGTAATTTCCGTTGAAACAGGAAGTGGTCGAAAAGAATTGAATACGTCAATCAATCCTAATTTATGTCATATACTAACATACCAAATTTCGTTTATTTATCTGAAAAAATAAAAAAGATATAGGGGGTAAGCCACTATTGAACACCCGGTATAGCATTTGCGACGTTTGAAATTGTTTAAAAAATTATTTGTGACGTTTGAAAAAAAATAGCAGGTTCGATTCGGAGTTAAATTGTATTTTTGTGCCTCACATAATGTGAAACCTACAGCTTCCCTCCAAAAAGTATCATTTTTACTCCTAATAAAACAATATACTATTGTTTTTAAATAGATTCTTTTTTCAATTTGGCATTTCTCTCCAAAATATATTTGATTTCGCTCTTATTAATTTACGGTCTGTATACTTTAATTTATATTGTAATTAAATTATATTTAATGGTTTGCAAGACCAAATTGCTTTAAATATAATTTTATTTCTATATTTTTATAACCATGCATCTAAATTTACCTGCAAGATTTATTAAACCCACCCGGATTTTATTAATTTAATCATTTTTTTCATCTCGCCCGTTTAAGATAAATAAATTTAACTTTTTTTCTTTACTTTTCCGGTTGGAATATAATATATTAAGAGAAAAAAGAGAGTAAGAAAAATAAAATTGTGTAAGGGAAAATTTAAATATATTTTATGGCCAGACGGTTTGCAGACTTTATCTAATATTTACCGAAATTAAAATAAAAAAAATATGGGCACTATCGTTTTAATTTAGATACCAAGAAACGGAAAGGAAATACCGTTGATTGAAAAAAATAAGAAGACGCGCAACCTTATGGGCGATTTCATGGCACAAAATATGTTTGAGATGTACCCTCAGACTGTCCTAGATTTAATTTAGCCCTGCGCCGCTGCGCGCTGATAGCCGTTTATAGCGTAGCGGATAAAGAATACCCCGTAGTTCTACTCTCAGTCGACAGAGTGGGTGGTTGCCGGAGACAGTGCTGCCAGAACTACGGATTAATCCGTAGATCTGAGGATTTTGGGTACAGTACGTTCGGGTAATAATACGAATTTTTTATCATTAAACAATTTAATATAATATTTTATGATTAAACAAAGAACGGCGTCAGAGTTGACTTGGAAATCAAGATCGCTATTATTTCATATATAAAATATTATAGTAAATAATATTTAGACAACTAAACAATTTTTTTCAAACATACGAAATACTCAGTACCTATAAAAGAATTTTTATTTTTGATTCTTGCGTATTCTATGTTTAACACGAATAAATTTTCAATAAATAAACACGTTTTCAGTTCCACACCGTCTTCGATATTCCTTCGCTGGTCGACTTAGAGAAATTTAGCGTTTTATGCGTTGGCTACAGAACGAGTAGTGGCTCTACCGTACAGTACTTGAGACGTAAGGGGAAGTCAAATCAACCTTGTCACGAGTTTGCCCACAGGGGAACTGTTTACATTTTATGCGAATGCCAACATCCTATTGTTATTGTTTGTTATGTTGCCAAGTCTACCGAAGCTTTGTCAATGCCTTTGTTTATTTTTAATTTTGTATACGTATACTTTGGGAAAATCTTAAGAAAATAATAATATAATTAGAGCTTACTACATTTGGGAATTTCGATATTTATAATTTTATTTAGTACTTAATAAGATTCAAGTCAAATATTACAAGAAATATTTTGTAAATTTCGTAATTTTTACATCAACCGTTATGATTAATTTTTAATCTGGCAAGGCCGCTCTGTTGTTATAATATTTTCTATAGCAAGGGAATTGGACGTGGTCAACAGTGTCAATAAACAGCTGATTGAGCTGATTGGCATAATCAGCTGTCTGGGGTGCTTTTATTTTTCCATATTTCTTAACTATTAATAAACTATTAGTGTATAATTGTTTCATTTTATATAAAGGACCAAAATTAGCATTTAAAATGGGTGTACACTGGGAAATGTGTAAGAATTAAAGAATTTAAACATCGTGGAGTGTCATTTCAAAAGTAAGTACTGTTCTGTGGTAATGCAGCATCTTCTTTTATTTACCTATTTGTTAATATTTGTTTTATAATATAATATATTATGTATATTATAAGATGTAATGTTTATATTTTTGTTACAATATTGTCCGAATCAAAATCGTATAGTTGTATTTAATTATGAATACAAATAATTGGTATGTTTACATAAATTATAATTGGTATGTTTACATTTATAAAAAAATAATGCCTATTTACGTTTTGTATTACTAAGATAAATATTTTATTTCAGATTTCTAAAAGATAGCGGGAGAAAAATTAAATGGTTTTTCCTGTTAGAAATTACCTGTTAGATTTATTCATAGCATGATATTAAAAGTCGAGCAAAAGAGAGCTCAAAAACAGCTGATTGTAAGGAATTGAAGAAAATATTTAAAAACTGATGAATTTTCACAGCCATTTATGTCGCGATTTATGGTGTTTCAACTTTTAACATCACCTAGAAAATTAACATTAAGATATTAGGATTCTGCAGATAACTAGATAAGAAGTATCATCTTGTTAGCATACCTATTCCGTCATAATATGTAAGTACCTACATATATATTTACAGTTTATTTTTTTAATATAAAATATTACTATATACTAATATGTATACACAGATTCAAAAGTGTACATGGTGGTGCCTTTCATACGATACGAAGGTTTCAAGGATTTTTGTTGTTGGAAGTTTGTATTGAAATGAAATTTTGAGAACATATGGAGGGTTCAGAAGTCAATCAAGTTAAGGGTGGCTGCAACGATGTTCCGTAATCTTGCGGTTAAAACATATCAGCTGGTTTTTATATATAAACACCAATTGTTTTGTTTTAACAGCAGAATTACGGGACGTCGTTGTAGCCACCCTGTCAGTCATACAAATTCACTTTCATTTCCCTTGAAGCCTTCGCGTCCTATGAGAGGCGCCATCCTATATATAGATTTGTATATATTATATTAATATTATTTTACTAAAATTACACAATAGTTGTATAAGATCTCACCATCGAAAAAAAAGCGTTAGGGTTGGCTTTGAAAGCAAGATTTATGTCATTTTATAAAATGTAAATTTACAGGGTGTTTCAAAACAAGTGCGAAAAACTTCAGGGGGTGATTCCTTGTTCAAAATAAAGGGTAGTTTGCTTCATAAACGTTGGGTCAAAAGTCAACCATTAGGGAGATATTGCGGTACAAAGATGGCGGAAAAATAATGTTTTTATTTTTTATCTTGAAAACGAAAAGAGATACACTAATAAAATTTTATGGAAGCATTACTGTTATGAAAACACACTTTCTGGTAATTTTTTCACTTTTTTAAAATGAGTGGAAGGGGTTGAAATAAACTACCCCTATTATTCTTGTTAACGAAATTTAAAGAAAAATCTAATCAAATACATGCAAAAAAATTAATTTGGATAGTTTAGTTTGTTTAGAAACTTTTCTATCTCTTGTATTTTTTTGATAAAACTCACCGATTTGTAATTAAAAAATAAAATGTAATGCATTACATGTCAGGACAAAAAACATTTTCTGATAAAGAATCTAATGGGCTGCTGAAATTTTTTTAGGAAAAAATCTAGTCGGCCGCTGTTACTTTTTAGGATGTTCCTAATATTATTTTATTTGACATTACTCTACTGCAATACGTTATTATCTAGATGATTATTATTATCGTTATTATCACTAGATTCTTAATTTAAAAATGTTTTTTGTCCTGACATGTAATGCATTTTATTTTTTAATTTCCAATCGGTGAGTTTTATCAAAAAAACACAAGAGGTAAAAAAGTTTCTAAACAAACTAAACTATCCAAATTAAAGCATTTGCATGTGTTTGATAAGATTTTTCTTTAAATTTCTTCAATTGAAGAATGATAGGGGTAGTTTATTTCAACCCCTTCCACTCATTTTAAAAAAGTAAAAAAATTACCTGAAAGTGTGTTTTCATAACAGTAATGCTTCCATAAAATTTCATTAGTCTATCTCTTTTCGTTTTCAAGATAAAAAATAAAAACATTATTTTTCCGCCATCTTTGTACCGCGATATCTCCCTAATGGTTGACTTTTGACCCAACGTTTATAAAGCAAACTACCCTTTATTTTAAACAAGGAATCACCCCCTAAAGTTTTTCGCATTTGTTTTGAAACACCTTGTATATGGTGAATGTCATTGATTGTCAATTTTATTTTTATTTTGCTCACAATGTATACTCAATGTAGATATTTATATTCACCAACTTCATGTTTTTATTTTGTTTTAGGAAGTGAAGATATTCATGGTGTGGAAGTTGTTACTTTAATTACATAGTGCATATGAAATTGCTCCTTTACATCACATTTAAAATCGACGTAATGCTACTATGCAAAATAGTGAGAGATGTGAACCCTAGGGAGAGCTACAGAAATACTTTCGTTGAGAGACAAGTTATGATAGTGATTAGAATCGCATATTCTAGACTTTTACTTGTTTGTGTATAAAAATCGATATATTTTTGAGTTTTGCATATTTAATCATGGCATGATGATATAATATCAGATACCTACAAAGAAATGACACTTAATATAAATATCTACAATAATATATCAGAGAATTTAAAAAGAAAATCACTTTCTATTTCATGTTTTCATTATTAACTTTTGGTTAAGATAATTATGCTTCAGCTCTACACTTTGTAAAATATTATAATATTGTACTTTTTGCAACAGATATTTCGATAATTTGACATTATCAAAAAAAAAATCGGCGTCAGCCATGGCTATAAAATGAAGATCGCTGTTATTTTATATGTAAAATTATATGGGGAATGTCATCGATCGTTATTTCCAAGCCAACTGGACGCCGTTTTTTTTGATCATACAGTATTTATGTCTTATTATTTATATTTTATAAAACTAGAAATTTATTATGTATACAAATTATTTTATATACTAATTAAGGTAATATTTAATAATTACTATGTAATAAGTTAGTAGTTATTAGTAGTAATAAATATATAAACAGTTATTATTTACATTAACAAAACTCACAAGGGACATAAAGGGCCATTCCTCTAGCTTTCCCGTTAAAAATATTCTAATAAAGTTGCGATCAGTTTTATACGGCTATTAAGCTATCTTGTTCTGCAAGGTCCGCTAGTAAACATTTTTAAGCTTAAAGTATCACAACACTATTTATTTAAACCAAAAACTCGATCGTTATACAAAACTAAAGTGTCAAAAGGAATGACAATGTCATGAAATAAATAAATAAAAGCTAAGCTACCACCTGAATCCCCGGCACGAAATTTAAATTCCAGTTAGTCAGCCCGGCGCCGAATATATGTCCATGGTTGGTTTGGAGAATGAAATTAAAAATTGATCAAGTGCGAGTCGGACTCGCGCACGAAGGGTTCCGTACCATTCATTATCTACTGTTCAATTTGCGAAGATTGAAACTTTCGTCATCATTTTCGGCGCCATATTGGTTTTCACGTATAGTGTGACCAACGGATCTGTAGCTACGGGGTATCGGCAGGGGAACGCAGTTGTAAACAAAACACGCCCAATTTCATTCATAAAATAGGCATGGTCGTACGGTGTTTTATGAAAATAATGTGTATCATAAATATAATATTCAGATTAATAATTTTTTTCAAAAAATTTTATCCTGTTTGAATCGTTACTGTTGAGTTAGCAGATAAACACTAAAAGCTTTTATTAAAGCTCCCTTAAATATTTTGAATAATTTTATTATTATGTGTTGTTAATATAATTGAAGAAATAATTACAGCTGAGGGTTGGAACCTTTGGTGTTACACATCAAAATAAAACATTAAATCAGCACAATACACCAAAACACTTTTACTTTTACACTGGACGCACGTTTCGCTAACCATGTTAACATCATCAGCAAATGATCAAGACTGAGTCTTGAGGTATATTTATTTATATATCTGTACTAACTATATTTTTTTTCTATAATACATTATTTTAGATATAACTATTTTCAGCAAAAAAAATCTTCAAAATAGTTAACTTTGGAAGCGCAAACAAAACATAATTTTACACACCAGTAGATCCAATATTGTCTATTACACCAGATATGGTATCGCCCCGCCAGCACTTTTTAAAGGTTAGGTCATTGTCTACCCATGTTTCATCCAAATAGATAATACTTGGCGATATATTCGAATTTTGCGTATATATCTATATCTTTCTCTGCAATATAATGGGCCGCTCCATTAATATTTATCTGTTATTTTGACATTTACGCCAAAAAATCCATTTGATTTTAATAACCCCCCTAAGCGTTTCCCTGCCAAAGGAAAATTCAATTCTTCCTGCAATTATTGCAAAAGCTTTCTAATTGTGGAGACGACTTTGAATTCGAGATAAAATCTATTTATCAAATTCCTGACCACTTGGAAATCAAAGTCGAGCTTTTCAACAGCAGTCTCACGTGGCCGTTTCTTTCCAGGGCTGAATATAATTTTATCGGGGTTAGTTTCCAGTCTTTTTTTATCTTCTGTGTGAATTTTTTTATAGCCGATACGCTGACTCCGGTATAAAGAGATATCCGCTTAAGTTTATGTTTAAGCGGCAACTTAAGCGAAGTCTCTGTAGCTTCTTCGTCGCAAACCCTATTATGAACACAACGAAATAAACCAAATGAGTTTTCATCCACGTTTATTTACATTTATTTTAGTTTAGCTAAAATATTTAGGCAAAATGTGGGGGTGCTTTTCATTTTAGCCAAATTTAATTTTAATATTCTAATAATTATATTATTATTATTCTACTTACCTATATAAATTAGCTATTATTTCTCTTATCCTCGCTATGTAGCGTCTTACCCTTAACAAATTTATTCATTTTAAAATACAAATATACGATCAAACTTATAATTAAAAACTACGAACGAAAAACATTATAACAAGATAACAAAACAATAAAACACAACTTAACTATTAAAGATACGAAAAATATAGGAATAAAGTTTAGGATAACCGGTATAAAATAACGAAAGAAAGTAATAATGATCAAAAGAATTACACCGCCACTGGATATTTCAATAGTATTCAATATTTCCACTCTTTTCAGAAGTGACCGTGAAGTTGGGGATAAGGCTAGCGAATAGGAAAGGCGTAAAAGCCATGGCAACCGCGTGGTAACAAATCCTGTGACGTACTCTCGCCAATCATGTTCGATGAATAGGAGGCCATGCGCGGCGATGCCGGTTTGTCAATGATGTCCTTGATATATCTTTACCTTTCATAATAAGCAGATTATACAGAATGAAAGAAATAAGTTATTAAATAAAACATATCCAACAATATGAACTACGTTAAAATTCCTTAGTGATATACGTCAGAATATATGCTAAACACATTATATATAATAAAAATATATTAAATTTATAGTTCACGTCTGGCAATTTTGCAATTTTATAGATAAACGTGGCAATATCGATTTTTTTTCTCGCATTCCTTCCGTAGCTTCAGATCCGCTGGTCAAACAGTATTTCTTGACTTGGTCCATGAGTTGTTTATATCTCTGCTTGAAACGATTGTCTGATTGAAACTAATAATAACAAATTTAATAACAAAATATTAAATAATGACAAATTTGTTGTAGCCTACCCGCAGTGTACACAATGAATAAATACGTCCTCTATTAATATGTTCATGGATCTTATAAGCAGGAATTCTAAGGGACAAACGAATTGTGACTTGTTTTGCTGCTTTTTGTTCTTTATCTTTTACGATTCCTCTGGAACTTATTATTTGCATAGTCGAGCATGAAATTCCTAAAGTCTCCGATGTTCTCTATAAAACTTTTAACTCAAAAATAATGAGTTAGTTACAAAATATTTACTCGGTAGTTGTCCAATCACATCGTAAACAGCCGACACAGGGTTTTTTCCACTACCTTTTTCGAGTTTCAAATACTCGATAACTTTTAATATGAGCCGTTGTACTTTTTCACTAAAACGGGACGGCATTTTAAATAAATTAAATTACAAATAACTAAATAAACACAGAAAACCCCACAAAAATTTACGGGAAACAATCGGAGTCGTTAAAATTTAACGACAATGTTGGACAGTCGGCGATATTCTTTTTTTCGATTCGGCGGGTAATACAATAAATATGATGTTTTCCTTTTTCTATTCATGCACATTAGACAAGGAAGTACCTACGATTCTTTATACGTAATGAAGGTGATCCGTATGTAAAACGAAAAAAATAATCGTATGATGTAAGAAATATAATGGACTTACGTTTTTGACACAAAATTTCCATTCCTTGTGATAAACATGGATAAGAGACAGAATGACAATATGTGACGAAAGACTCAAACTTCGCAAATTGAACAGTATACAACATTAGACACTATATTATTATAAACTTTTTTTCCGATTTAGCTTTTTTAGATTTAGCACAGATACATTATCTGTGAAAATTTCAACTGTCATGGACAGCGAAGGACAGCGAAGTCTTAGTAACAACTGTTGGACAGCGAAGTCTTAGTAATAGGGTTTCCGTTTTTACCCTTTGGGTACGGAACCCTAAAAATCGCGCCCTCGATTACGTAACTAAAAGTTTTATTGATATCAAATGTATATGAGTATTACTCACTATAGATTTAATATTAGATCATAGAAACGCAATCCTCATACATTTATACATCAGAAGAAATATTATGTATAGTAATCATTTTTAATTTTAGTATATTAGTTTGAGATAATTGTTTCACTTTGTATCCGAAAACAATGCATGGCACCTTTATAAAGCACCCTTAAAGAACGGCAGAAAATTTAACTCTTAAAACACATTTGCAAGTAGCAAATGAACCACTCAACTTAGACGTAAGTCTAGTTGATAACTCACTCGGGGATTAAGTTTCCGCTAATTCAGCGATGCCAACAACATATTCCACGTTCACGTATGTATAATAATGTAGCATTTTCGTTCATTAAGTTGTAGCTATGCAGCCTTCATTGTCAGGTTGGAAATATCGTGTTATGCGACTGCTCCTCATATTTAACGTGGAAGATATTCGGGTCAGGGTGAACCAAGTGGCTGACTCCAATTATATCGATTATGGCTTAAAACTGGCGGCAGATAAATCGTAGAAAATTACCGTTTTAATTTCCATTTACTACGAGATAAATTAAAGTTTAATCGAGGTTATGTTGGCCTGTGGTTTTTAACTGGTAATACGCAGTAATGAAATTTATTAGGGGTGTGACGGTAGAAATTTAAAAATTGCTAATTTTGACGATATTTTCTCGATGTTTTTCGTAAAAAAATAGATGACGCGTCCCATCAATAAAAATTCAACAAATTTGCATGTAGCCAATAAAATGAGTGGGCGGAGCGATTTGCGGTGACGCACTCGTCAAATCGACGTATAAAATATATTGCTGTTTATTTAAATGTTTTTTGTCCGCATTCCTTTCATAGACACAGATCCAGCAGATGTACTGTACCAAATCTCGTTTTTTATCTGAAAAATAAAAAAGTTATGGGGGTGCGCCACTTTTGAGACGCACCCGGTATAGTAATAATTTTTAATTTTAGTATATCTCTGTTTGAGATAATTGTCTTACTTTTTATCTTAAAACAATGTAGGGCACCCCTTTATAAAGCAGCGTTAGAGAACGGCAGAAAATTTAACTCTTAAAACACATTTGCAAGTAGGAAATGGACCACTCAACTTAGACGTAAGTCAAGTTGATAACTCACTCGGGGATTAAGTTTCCGCTAATTCAGCGACGCCAACAACATATTCCACGTTCACGTATGTAAAATAACGTGGCATTTTCGTTCGCTAAGTTACAGTTATGCAGCCTTCATTGTCAGGTTGGAAATTTCGCGTTATGCGACTGCTCCTCATATTTAACGTGGAAGATATTCGGGTCAGGGCGAACCAAGTGGCTGGCTAGAATTATATCGATTATGGCTTAAAACTGGCGGCAGATAAATCGTACAGAATTACCGTTTTAATTTCCATTTACTATGAGATAAATTAAAGTTTAATCGAGGTTGTGTTGGCCTGTGGTTTTTAACTTGTAATACGCAGTAATGAAATTTATTAGGGGTGTGACGGTAGAAATTTAAAAATTCCTAGTTTGCATATATAACGATGTCGATATTATCATATCAGTCAGTCTTACAAGGGAATATTTGTTTAATATTTACATTGATTGATTGGACAGTAAATATAATTATTGCTGGTAGTAAAAATTGAAGACCGTGACACACGAGCTAGCGTCACAATACGCGAGACACACGTCACAAAAAATGGTAATGATAGAAAAAGTGATAAGCCAATGTAGAAGTTCAGATTATTATTCAATTGTTTGCGGTCATTTCCTGTTTCACCGGAAATTACTACAACTTTTGATTTTTAAATGGTACCCTCCGTATTTTTTTCCTTTATTCGATCAATCAACTTACGCGGAAGGCGAGGAGCTTCAAAGAGTAGAGAGGTATGACTACCTCGGTACAAGTGTCGACTGCACCGCGGATTATTGTTTAGAAATAAAGATTCGCATTGAAAAGGCCCGTGCATCATTTGTGAAAATTAAGAAGCTGCTCTGTAGCCGCGATTTGAGCCTAGATCTGAGAACTCGTATGCTCAAATGTCATGTATTCCCAGTCCTTTTGTATGGTATGGAAGCTTGGACTCTCAACGAGCTTTGCGAGCGGAAACTGGATGCCTTCGAGATGTGGGCATACCGTAGAATGTTGAGAATATCATGGACAGAACATGTAAACAATGAGGTTCTGAGAAGAATGAAGAAGGGCGTAGAGATCCTCAAGGAAGTAAAAAAAGAAAATTGCAATATCTCGGCCATATCATGAGAGGTCCAAGGTATGAGATTTTGCAACTCATAATCCAGGGAAAAATTGTAGGAAAAAGATATGTTGGAAGGAGAAGAATGTCCTAGCTCAGAAACCTGCAAAAATGGTTTAATGTCACGTCATCTGATCTATTTAGGGCCGCAGCTTCCAAGGTTAAAATAGCAATGATGATAGCCAACCTCAGATATGAAGACGGTACATGAAGAAGAAGAAGAAGAAGATTCGATCAAAAGTTAACATATTCTATTCAGAGTGTCATTTTCTATCGAATAAAATAAAAATATACTGGCGCCATTTAAAAATCAAAAGTTTTAGTCAATTCCGGTTGAACAGGAAATGACCGAAAACAATTGAATACGTCAATCAATCCTAATTTTTGTCATATACTAACATACCAAATCTCGTTTTTTATCTGAAAAATAAAAAAGTTATGGGGGTGCGCCACTTTTGAGACGCACCTGGTATAGTAATAATTTTTAATTTTAGTATATCTCTGTTTGAGATAATTGTCTTACTTTTTATCTTAAAACAATGTAGGGCACCCCTTTATAAAGCAGCGTTAGAGAACGGCAGAAAATTTAACTCTTAAAACACATTTGCAAGTAGGAAATGGACCACTCAACTTAGACGTAAGTCAAGTTGATAACTCACTCGGGGATTAAGTTTCCGCTAATTCAGCGACGCCAACAACATATTCCACGTTCACGTATGTAAAATAACGTGGCATTTTCGTTCGCTAAGTTACAGTTATGCAGCCTTCATTGTCAGGTTGGAAATTTCGCGTTATGCGACTGCTCCTCATATTTAACGTGGAAGATATTCGGGTCAGGGTGAACCAAGTGGCTGGCTAGAATTATATCGATTATGGCTTAAAACTGGCGGCAGATAAATCGTACAGAATTACCGTTTTAATTTCCATTTACTATGAGATAAATTAAAGTTTAATCGAGGTTATGTTGGCCTGTGATTTTTAACTGGTAATACGCAGTAATGAAATTTATTAGGGGTGTGACGTTAGAAATTTAAGAATTGCTAGTTTGCATATAACAGTGTCGATATTATCGTGTCATTCGGTCTTACAAGGTAATATTTGTTTAATATTTACATCGATTCATTGGACAGTAAATAAAATTATTGAAGTGAGACTTATCCTTACCTGGGACTAAAAATTGAAAATAGGACTTCAAATACGAACTTGTAATAAACTTAGAAATTCATAATTTGAAATATCTGTCATCTTAAAACTCAAAAAAATCCTTTCTTGGTATTACAGGACCGGTATAAAAATCACAACGATTATAAAATGTCGGTATAAAAATTACAATATATCTACGGCAAATAAAGGGATATTTAAAAAAAAGGGCAGATTTAGGAAAGCTAATTTTTTTATACCGATATCAATATACATTAGTGGTTTTAATTTTATTAAATTAAAAGCGGAACTCCGTGGAACTCATTACTATAACTCATTATAACGACAAAATTATAAAAAAAATAAACCCAAAATAACGTGTTTAATAGTTATTTTTTATACAAGACGATAAAATACCATTTTAATTCGCGAGCGATGAAATCGCAAGTGAATTAATTTCTGGAGACGGTAATGCAATTTTATCGTCGTGTATAAAACAATATTTTTTTCCATAGCGAATTAAATATTCAGAAATTATAATTTCCAGGAATTTATTACGATTAGTAAAAATATTTTGCTGTGTTGGCGTTGGTTTCTATATCATTTGACAAATAAATAAAGCTGTCTCTTTAGTTGTCAGTTTTGAGTCAATATTTTTAATTCTCTTTCGTGTGTATTCAGGCTGAGGCGACAAACGCCATATCCAAACTACTTTCATTTAAATCCCGAATCACATATGAAAAGGAATACAAAAATTTTCAAAAATGGAAGCAATTAAAAAACGTGCGAGAAGAAATAAAGTTTTTAACCTATCCTCGCTGTTAAAGTATCATTTAATCTACCCTTGCGGTTAAAGTACTATTTTATCTACTATTTTTGATAGATATTAAGGCAATTTTAACAGTTCCCATGGAAAAAATATATTTTATCTACATTTAAAACAGTTCAAATTTATTATATTGATGTTATTTAATTGTACTACAAGTCTTTAGCTATATTATCCATCATGATAATGATAATTAATTTTCAAATGGCTGTGCTGGGTGTAAATGACACTCTCTGCGCTCCACGTTCGTGCAAGGCTAACGCTCTTGCCAGTAATTGCGTTATAGTTGCTCGGAAAAAATTATAACATTTAAAATTAGGTCCACAGATTTTATAAGAACATACAAAAAAAAAATTGTAATTTCGATTTTTCTCAAGCTAAACATAGCATTTTGCCGTGTGTGCGGCGTAAAACGTGTCTGGAGTGGTTAGGAGTTAGCTAGGTTGGCCATTGGTATCTATGTTAAAAATCATAGGAGTCAGCACACTTTCCTAACGAAGACCGTTCTTTTATTTTCTCCATCTGCTCTTCTTCTTGTCCAGCGTAACGTAGAATCTCCTGTTTTGTAATATAGATTCAATAATTCTCGGTCAGTTAATAGTCCCTAATAGTCTCATATATTCTGGAAATAAGTTTTCTATGGTAGACAGTATCATACGCGACAAATAAATCGACCATAGCCACTCCTATGATAAATTTCTGCTCAAAACCATTCTCGTATTTTTTTCCTTTATTCGATCAAAAGTTGACATATGATATGTCATCCTATTCAGAGAGTGGAATTTTCTATCGTTTTATTTTCTGAAAAAATAAAAAAAGTTATGGGGTGCGCCACTTTTGAGACGCACCCGGTACATTACTATACACTTATAACTTTATTACCTACTATCGTATTTTTTACATTGTTGTTATATTCGCTTATTTCTTTACAGATGGTGTGACAGAGAAGTAGACGGCGTATACTTGGGCAAGTCAGGCTGGGTCCAAGTCCAGCAACGTTCCCTAGACGACAATCGCAGAGCCAGCTACTCGATAAACCTGGCAAAATCCTTACAATCCAACCGCACCGGCATCAAACTCGCCAATTACCACTTCAGCAGCGAACCCAACAAAGCATCTAGTTTCTCTCGAACAAATAGTGTGGTGGAACCGAGACCGGAGCCAAGACCTGAACCGCCAAGGACTGAGACATCTCAAGCCGAAACCCATCGGCCTGCTTATTTGGTACTACAAAACCGGGAGTACGATAGAAAAATCAAGACACCGTCGCCACTTCCGGAGAGTGGGTCTTTTTCGCCTCCTTCTGTTACACCTATTATATCCCCACCACCTGCTTTCCAAGATAAAACAAAGAGCCCGATGAAATCGCGAACTTTTTTCGGAAAGACACCGTTTTTACCAAGATCCAACGCGATAGAGGACAGTGATAACAGTCCTCCTGCTTCACCACCCGGGTTGAGTCAGTGGAAAACAACAGCTCCAAACGCTCCGATACTTCCCAAACCGAAACCACAAGTCATTAAAACATCTCCGGGTATCGAAAAACCACCCAGAGCGTCAAAGAAAGCACCCCCCGTTCCTCAAACTAAGTCTCTGGAAGAGAACACCGCTTCCAGGAGGATGCAGTTTAAGCAAAAGTACGGTCAAAGTACTTCTTCTAGTTCATCAAGTTCGATGGGATTTAGGAGCTTGGACAGCTGTTTGAACAGGACGAGCAGTGTGATGCCGAGGTTGTCGGAGAACACGGACTCTTCGGTGGATGTGTACGAGGATGCGGATGAAGAGGATAATAATAGTTCTTCTGTAAATATGAGCATGGTGAACACGGCGGCTCTGCAGGCAGAGTACAGCAGGAAGTTGTCACCATCAGGTCGGACCAACAGATTAACGCACTACAGGTAAATAATATTATTTAGAGTTTTATTATAAACATATACCGTATATGTTCGAAAAAAATAACGGTTTCAAAGACAGCTGGGAAATGGAAAACTTGGAACGTTAATACTACTTCTTTAAGTTTCACTGCATGTTTATAGTCGTTGCTGACTTTTTGACTTTGGGTATCATACTAGACGTCAATACGATTTTTTTCTTACTGCATGTTGAATAAAAGATTCTAAGGTTTAATGTTTCTATTTAAAAATCAACACATTTTCTGACTACTTCAATAATAAAAGCTTCTACAGGTGGCGCCTCTCATACGACGAGATTGCTCCAAGGAGAACGGTAGTTTATATCAAAATGAAATTTTAGCAGCATATGTAGGTTAATTGAAAGCATTTTATAAAAATATATAGTTAGTAAAGAGTTATACAGGGTGTCCCCAAACAAGTTATCAAAGTTACAAAAGTTATCAAAGTGTATATGTTATTTATATCAAAGTTGTGTTTTTTGTGATTAAGTTAAGTTTTATTAAAGTAGCATATACTTAAAATGTAAGGATTCTGACATATTTCACATTTTGTGAAAATGAAGAGTAAATTTTAAATTTCAATAACAGCTACCTAAATTTTAGTTGACATTGTATAGCCTGATATTTAACTACAGTATGTATGTTAATTAAGTGACCATTGTTGTTTAAGTGACCATTGTAATTTAAGTAACCATTGTATGTTAAATCAAATTAAAATTTGACCCAAAAAGTTATACAGGGTGGAACAAAATCGAGGGTGTCTCACTATTGGAATTTCATGTACATTTTCTTGGCGGTCCCTGGCGGTCATTGGCAGTCGCTGGGCAGTAAAATGATGTTTTGGCAGTACATGTACATTTATTACCCAAGTGAGACATATATATATAAATTCGGGTCAGAACGTCCTACGACGTTGTCCGATGCCTAACTTCCACCCTGTGCGTTTTTCCCATTGATCTTTGGTCAGATTTTTCTCGCTCATCGACCTTCTTATTCCTTCCATCCATGTTTTCTTCGGACGTCCTCTCTTTCGTTTACCAGGTGGTATCCAATGAATGACTTGTTTTGGAATTCTTTCATTGTGCATTCTCTGAACGTGGCCGTACCATATTAATTGTTTTTGTTCTATATCATTTACTATTGTTCCCTCTATTCCCATCTGTTGTCTAATGTCTTCATTTCTGATCTTATCCCTCCGTGAAATTCTAATTGCTCTTCTAATCGCGTCTATTTCTTTTGTCTCTATATAATTTCCTTTTATTCCTTTCAGTGAGTCGCCATGTTTCACATCCATAGAGTAATATGCTTTTAACTAGTGTCTCGTATATATTATATTTCCTGTTTTTTGTAAGTTCAGTGCTCCATAGAATGCCATTTATGCAACTGATAACTCTTGGTGCCTGTATTACTCTGTTATTTATTTCTCTATCGTCCATTCCATCTCCTGTAAATATCGATATCAGGTACCTGTAATCTTCACATGCCCTAATTTCCATATTATTGTCCAAAATAAGATTTTCTGTATTGGCTCCAATTGGAAGGTATTTTGTTTTTTCTGTATTTACTGTGAGACCCCATTTAGCATAGTCTTCAATTATTTTCTGCACCATATATTCCATGTCATCTTTGTCGTTTGCAATTATGGCCTGGTCGTCTGCAAATTGCAAGGTGTATAGGCATATGTCATTTAGTTCTATACTCATTCCGTTACATTTTCTTTTCCATAGATGTAAGGCCTTGGCAATATAAATTTTAAATAGTGTTGAGGATATACAGCAACCCTGTCGGAGCCCTTTAGTGATAGAAATTTCCTCTGAGAGACCATTGACCGTTTTTATTTGTGATTTCCCTCCATGGTAAAAGATTTTATACAGCTTTTATCAGAGCCGCGTTAATTCTTGATTCGTGTAAAACTTTCTATAATTTTATTATTGGCACTGCAGTGAGACATCCCAAGTGAGACATCCCTCGGACAAAATTAATATGGAACATTAGTCACTTTTAACAGCAAGTTACTCCTTTATTTTAAATAGAACCCCCAGTATATGTCTCCGGTGTTTAATGGGGAATTCATATATCCTCAAAACATTATTAAGGTTGCCTATACCTCAGACAAAGATTTTCCTAGATATTATAATTTTTATGATTTTGCGTCAGTAGATCTTTATTATTTGAAAAAAAATAGGTGGCTGTGTACCTTTTGTTAATTTAACAAAAATCAAAGGATTTAGAGTAAAATACTCAAAGATAATAAAAAGATACACGTTTAAAACATATTTTAATTATTAAAGAATTAAAACTAGATATAAACCCATAATTATGTGACAAAAATTAGCTAGATGAAATCAAATGCTCAAAATGCTCCCTTTCCTGTTAACTTCATAAAATAATTGTCTTTTTTAAAGATCTTTTCATTTTATAAGGCATATGTGGAGTTCTACTTCGAAAAGCAGCTACAATTACTTCTCTCATGTTGTCGACAATAGTTGGTCTAGTTTTGTAAACACTGTCTTTAACATATCCCTATAAAAAGCCCAGACTAGGTAAAATCAGAAGCGTTTAAGTATTCTATTAATTAGTGAATGCAGACTGCATTCACCAACTAAGGGAATATTATCAATTCTCTCTGATGTAGGATCAGTTTGCATTTTCGGCAAATTACTGAGAATTTTCTTTTGTTTTAACTGACACAAAATGATAGTTTGTTAAAGTTAGACTAATTAGACAGCTATGTTGAAATAACGTCAGACATATCACAGCCATCTAGATTTTATCAAATAATAAAGATCTACTGACACTAAATCATATAAATGAAAATATCTAGGAAAATATTTGTTTGAAGAGTAGGCAACCTTAATAGTATTTAAAAGAGATATAAATTCCCCATTGAATATCGGAATAATATACTGGGTGTTCCATTTAAAATAAAAGAGTAACTTACTTTTAAATGTGACCAATGTTCAATATTAATTTTGGCTCACCCTGTATGGCATTTTGGATCAAGTTGTAATTTGATTTAAAGTACAATAGTTAATTTAACTATACCGGGTAAAATCCAATTTAGGTAACCTTTGTTGTAATTTAAAAAATTTTCTATATTTTTAGAAAATGTTAAATATGTCAAAACCTTACATTTTAGTCATATACTTCTCTTATAAAACTCATCTTTTTTCTCCCAGAATCCAAAAATCAATTAATTTATAGGGTGTTCCATTACAAAAACAACTTTGATATGTAACTTTTTTTGGGCACACCCTTTAGAACTCTCTATATTTTTAAAAAGTGCTCTGAGTTAACCTACATAAGCTTACAAAATTTAATTTCAATCAATGGCAGATAAAGAATTCTTACGGAAAGTTACACTTTACGATATAACTTTTTACCTGTTAAAGGCAAACCCCATTTAAACACAAAACTTTTTAATACCTACTACTGTATCTAAAAGACTTTTTTTTAAATTACTAAATTCTTAGCCACGCTTCTGTTTTTCTTGGCTGTTGTGCGTCACGTCACAGATTAACAAGCCCACGTTTGCACCACAAGGCGATGCTGCAGACCACTAGGTAGACCGGTCGTAGAAATTTATGTTATACAACTTGTAGTCAATCTACACAAATATTATCAAAAATTTTTTTTTTTCTTTTAAAATGTGTTCAGATTTTGTAAAAAGTATAAGTCAAAATCGCAAAACTTAAATTTGATATGAGTTTCTTAGTTTTTAACTAATATAGTGGCGAATTACAAAAATTCCTTTTCAGTGAAAATTAATGAGTTAAATAAAATAATTTAATAAATTACTAGCTTTTTCTCGCGACTACGTTCGCGTTACACCTCGAATCGTTTATGCATTGATTTAAATGATTTTTTACTTCTTTATAGAGAGCTAGTGAGCATATAGATGTTTTTTATTTTTCATCTTTTTTTTATTTATTAAGAGCACTAATATTCCCTTTATAGGTTATTTTTTATTCTTTGAAGGATAATTAACGAAGATATATTTCGTTATGATGTCACTAAATAAACCCTTGTATAAAATTTTATACTGTCTGGTTTATAATGTTATAGTATTGCATTTTCGTACAGCAAACTTTCATTCCCTATTCTACTTCCTAAGGGTATAAATTTCATAAATTCGCTTTACCTTTGTGCCAATTTTTATGTGTATAATCCAGAGGTCACCAAGTTTTATATAAATTTTTACTAACTTTACCCATTTGGTTGATGAATTTCAAAAATTTCTTCTAATTCTTTTTGTAGGATTTCATTCTTCTAGACCAAATAGTAAGGAATTTTCACACAACAAACTGTTCCGAGATAACTTTACTCTCTAAGAGGATGAATTTCCTAAAATCGCTTTGTGTAGCTAATTCACTAATGTCGTTTAAACGAACCTTTGTGCTAATATTTATGTATCTAAAGCTGGCGGCATGAACTCACTCTAAAATATCTAAAAACGTAATATATAATCTAACGGACACACCACTGACAATGACAAATAATTTATTTCTGGAGGTATTGTGTGTAGGTGTTTTTCAGGTATGTTTTAGTATTTAGTCGTTTTACACAAAGAAATAGCCATTAAGCACTATAAAAATACTTCATAACAAATCTACACATATATACCTTTCATTTAAAAAAGAATCAACAAGATTGGTAAAGCGGTTTCGGCGGGATGGATGCAACAAAAAAAACCCTTTGAGCTTTTATGTATGGATTTTATGTATGGATTAATTATTTTTCCAACATATTTTACTTTGCAAATTTTTATAAATATTCAGACTCGCCAATATCGTACTCCAGCCTGTTTAGCCAAACGTAGGCCGATTCCTCTTCGGCGGCGTCGTGACCCTGGCCGAAGGAAGAGTCTTGAAGACGCTCATCTGCGCATAGGAATAAGTTGACTGCGTAGCGTATGGCGTATTAATCGATTCTGAAACTTTCTATCTCGTGTATAACATGTTACGCAAGTTTATTATTTTAATCTCGATTTTAATAGATAAATGTGTGAAATGCCACCTGAATATCTTCCGCCATGACATGTTTTTACTTTTTTGTTATGGTAAAGTGATTTGTATAAACTTTATTCAATAACGTATATTTTCCTCCATTTGTGATTTTTTAATTTTAAGCGAAAATTAAGTATAACATTTTAGGAAAAAGAAACACTGTAATATTTAAAAGAATAAGAAGAAATTAGTCTTATTTTGAAAGGAAAATATAGAAAAAACTCTTTCTATAGAAAAGTCTTTATACTAACCAGAATCCGGTGACATATACGCGGTCTCACCGGAAACATTACTTATTACTTCGCATAACTTGAAGAATATCTACTTCTAATAATGAACACTTCAGAAATACACCAGTAAAAACATTTATTATTTGAGATTAAAACTCGAATTAAATTATAAATATTAGTTACCTATGTTGTTATAGCTTTTATAGGCCTGTTCTAGTCTATTTTATTTTATGTACAAATATATTATTAAATTTTAAGCATTAAGTAATAAAACACTTGTGGCCCTCTTATATCGTAAGAGGTTACGAAATATACTCCTGGTTACACCCCTTACAGAAAACAGTGTAAGGGGTGTAAATAAATTGTATAATCACTGTTTTTTATAATAAAAACTATAAAACATTTCTTATTTGTGAGATTAAAAAACAAAACAATGCATTGGTTAAAATAAGTACATTCAATACATATGTATGTGTTATAACATAATATAGCCATTACTATTATACTATTATTATTAAAATAATATGTGTGTAACATATTTCTTTAACGAATTAACCTGTAATTTATATGGCCAGTATATTTTTGTTTAACAAACCAATCAGGAAAAATCCAAAACCTACCGTTATAGGAGGTATAAGATGATTAAACTTATATAATGACAACTACTTATCGGATAACAAATTAATTACTACTGTTAGCTAGTTCAGCTACTGTCTAGGTAGAATTTACCTAGAGTACCTACACCTACCTATGATGTAGGTAGATTAAGCTTATTTTGACGTTACCTCTCACTTTGGTGTCACAAGCTGAATTTTTCAGGGATGGAAGTACAGTACATTACAGTACATGATATGGGGACCCTTATTCCGAAAGTGGTACAAAATTAGACCGGGTAAAAAGGCACTATCATCAAAAATCGATATATTAATACCACCGTATAGAGAAAACAAATACTTATTTTTTGATCCAGTACACAATAAAGTCTTCGTAGGGAGTAATTTTTTATAATTATTTACAAAAAAACATTTCCATTAGCGCTTATGACCAAAAAAAACTTTAAACATGAATAATCATTTCAATCATGCAAAAATTTGGTTTAAAAATAGATTTTTTTAATATAACTTTCATTTAACGAAAAACGAAGGCCTAAATGAAAAAAAGAAACAATTTAAAAGTTTCGCTTATGTCTTGACAAGGTATCAAAGCAAACCCCATATTTTTTGCTTTTAAACTAATAAAGATATATCAATAAACAATTAGCGATGTAATGGTTTTTGCGCGCGCTGGCCGACTGCCGCCGCTGCGCCGAGATTTCCTATACCCTTGTATATATGACGTCATGGTGTGGCAAATGAAGCATTTTAATTCGATTTGGGCTCTCTTATATAGGATAACAGAAACATTTTCAATGTTAAAAAAACATTCTATGTAAAACGAGGCAATCCCATAAATATAACAACTTCCAAACTATTAAAAAAATTCGATTACATTTTAATTAATTCTAGCTTGAATCGTATATCCTAAAAATTAATTTGAATAGTTTTTTTTAAGTAAATTAATTAAATTTTAGGTCAATTGACAAAACATCTGCTAAACTATCTATTTATGTAAATTTTCAGGTTACTGAAACTAACATAACTAAACATATCAAAGTTACATTAAGCATAACTTTGACATGTTTAATTTAGTTTGCTTTCAGTATAGTTTCTAATGGAAATATTATCATATATTATAAACAGATCCAAAATTACGAAATGTGTTGAACAAAATGTGTTGTTTGTTAAAATTAATAAAATGTTAGGAAGCTGAAATATTCAAAGTACTAATAACAATGATATTTTATTATTCTAAAATTTTTTAAAAGCAAAAAAATGAAAAAAATAAAATAAAATGGGCTTTAATTAAAGTTATTTGACTATGATCTATGGCTTTATTTATAGCGTGCATAATTTAATGATTTTAATTTATTTTTTATATTTTTTTATATTTGTAATGAACAATAAAACTGAATCTAAAGTGCTAAAAATCCAAATAAATTATGTCTGTTAATAGCATATTTGTACTCTAAAATATGTACCCTAGGAAAACTTAGTTTAATATACAGTATGTCTCCGGATTGTGTTTAGAAGGGGGAAAACTTCTTCCTATTGACATTTTCAGAAAAATACATTCTTCGTAAAAAAATGTTCTTGTTCTAAAATGGTTAATCCCGTTTACACTTTTTCAAATTTCCATACTGTTTTAGAGAAAATGAAAAAAAGATATGAAAATATTATTGTTTTTTTTCCTAAAAATCAAAAGGCGTTTCTATGGTAATATAATTTCGATTTCATTCTCATATTTGATGATTTCGATATTTCTAAATATCTACTATACATATTATAAACGCCTGTTCAAATATTAATATTGTTGAATATATGTATATCAACATAAAACGAGATGTAATTAACGAAATATCATCTTAACAACAGATATTTTTGAAACATTTAAATTTACTTATTTCACTGAGATTGATGAAAAAAAAGTCCTTTGTCTCGGGTATACTCGTAGATTCCGACACGTCGTGGAAACGCGACCTTTACATTCTTCGGATTATTTTCCGAATAGTGTAGAGGGTGTATCAGAGGCACCTGGTTTAAAAATAAAAAACAGATAATTACAGATTTATACAAAGTTTTTTTTACAGTAATGTAGTGTTCTTTCTACGATGACATTTTTCGTTTTTTTAGAGGAAGATTTTTTTTATTTGTGTATATTGCAAATTGATACTTAAAACAAATATATAATTTTAATTTCAGTAAAACGAAATCACTTATTCCGTCAAAATAAGTGATTTTGTTTTCTCCTTGATAGGACAGAGATCGAAGTAAAACACAATCTAGTGTTTGAATTTGTCGATATTTTGTAAATATTTTAACAATTTTAAAGGCAATGACTAAATTATTTTAAAACCTACACTCTCGTAAAATAAGTTTATAAGTTAATATATAGTAATCGCAAAACAATTTCCGATGCACGTGATCAACTTTGAGTGACAATCAATGGCGACAGCGCTGCCAGTTTGTGATAGATTTATTAGATTAATATTAATTTAAAATTGACAAACAACATATTTATTATATCATTTTTTAAAGTTTAAGAGTTACGTTTTATTTTTAATTTAATAACTAATATTTTAGTGATTAATTGATTTTTTTTTTATAGCTTATTTTACTTATTACATTTCGGCAAAAACTAGTCCATTATGAAGATTATTATAAGCGTTATTATGGGTTATTTATTTATTGATGTAGATCTTACAACGCCATAAGTGGTAGGTAATAACAAGTAAGAGGGTGCTATTAATGCACAAACTAATAATCACAGAATTTAATAAAAACTAACTTTGAAAGTGGTATAATGTGCTTATCAATCAAACTTACTTTTCTGACTTCAGTCAAGAGTAATAAAGGAACTTTATTGTCACGATCTGGTTTAAAATTATTTAAAGAAAAACAGGAAAGCTACAAGCTCTTCGCTTCGACTGTTTAAATGATTCGGCATATTTTCAGCACACAATTTCAAGAAATGCAATACAAAAACTCTAAAATTTAGATTAACTTAAAAGGACTGTTGCTTAAAAGTGCAATTTAAAAAAAAAAAGACTATAAAAATAGCCAAAAAAATACGAGAATTGCTCACAAAGATTCAACAATATCACGATATTAGACAAAATAATGACTGACACTAGGATAATTGTCAAATAATAAAGGACAACATTGCTGAACACGACGCAATGTGACCAACATAGCGATAATAAAATTCGGTTTAAACTAATTTTTGCAGCTTTAATCTAAATAAAATATCTGTGACAATCATTTGCTCCATAAAGTAAAATGAAGAGCTGATCGGTATCTTAAATTATACTACAAATTTAAACATTTTTGCCAAAATTACATTTAATCAGGTTTATAGACTTTAGTGTCAATGTCGATATGATTGATGACGTGCATCGGAAAATGTTTTGCGATTACTATATAAGTTTATTTTTTAAAATATTTATTATTACACTGCAGGAACCAAATGCGTCGATCACCAGCCGGTTCCGACACCAACAAACACTCCCCAACCTCTTCGTCTTCCAGTAGCAACGAGTTCCTCTCCAGATCACCGACAGGTACCATACAATCGACCGTACGACGTAACGTACAAGCTCGACCTCACCAACCAGCAAAATCACCCCAAGACGACCCAACTCAAAGGGTGCGACGTTCGAGAAGTCTGCAACTTCCCGAAAGAACTCCACCTCCGAATTTTGGCGCGCAGAAAGTATCACCACAACATCCCGAACAGCATCGTGTTATTGTTAAGGTGCCAGGAGCTCAGCAGGTTCCTGAGAGAAAACAGTACCCTGTCGGTGTGAAACCGCAATCTTTGGAAAGAGGTGAAATGGCGGAAGAAGAATTGTTGAGAGAAGCCGAAGTGGTTACTGGGTTTTTGTATGGGAGCAGATCGAGAGCTGCAGCTCAGGCGCAACTTATGCACAGGTAGATTAGTATAAATATTAACACTCCGAATTCTAATTGGGAAACTTCGGCAGAGAAAAATAGGTAAAAAAGTTCGTATGAATATAAATTTATCACCTAAAATGCTTCGTTTCGGAGGTACAGGGTGTAAAAGTTAGGTTAGGTTAACATATAATAATTTTCTGAATTAACATCGACATTTTCATCAAATTGCTCTCTGGATATTCTTTTACATGATGAGAAGAATTTAGATTTTCATATTAGTAAGACTCCCACTTGTATGGGGTGTCGCCTACAGGTTTTTTAACTGTTTTGAAGAGTAATCATTTTTCGTCCGTGCCTGTGTTTCACTAGTGAGAGAAAACAAAATATTTTTCTGCCGTTTTCCACCAAAAAAGCTTTCTTAGTAAAAGTTGACACGAGCAACCGTTCTCTATATATTTGGAATCGAAATAATTAATACATGTCATCATTGGCAAAATAAACGCTAACCTTATTTAGCGCCCCACGTTGGGCGCCAAATAAGGTATAGCGTTTTTTTTTTTAAACTACCACTGCGAACGGCAGCTTTTCATCGGAGAGCAGTCGTGGATAAGGTATTTCACTGGAAAGAAACTAACTAACAATAATAAATCAAAAATACAAATATTGGGCGCCAGGCATGAACAGAGAAAGAAAACAGTTTTTTATTACTTAAAACTAGTGACTATATTCATTCATGATGTATTCTGATGGTAAATAGCATTGTACAATTTTAATAATTATTATAGTGGTTATATGTCGAGTAAAGCTATGTTAGAAATAATATTAAATATATTGAATGAAAATACTATAAAAAAATACCATACATGTAAAGTTATAGAAAATGTATAAAAGGTAGCATTACTTTAATTTATTTGATATATTTTATATGATGTTAAATCGAAGAATATGATGTTAAATCGAAGATGTTGCAACAAATGTAGATTCTAGAATCTATGTTTGGTTATTCATCTGTTAAAATAGTGCAATAATAATATCTATGAAAGTAATACTATTACAAGACGTAATGTAATGAAACCTAAGATCTAAATCATATTTTAAATACTAAATCGACATGAATGTTCTTAATGATCTAACCACTAAACATAGTCTGTACGATATTATTTAAGATGTACGTTATTATGTTAAGACTGAAAATGTTTTAAATGTAAAATGTAAAACTAGAACTTAAATCTACATTTAGCTGTTCTTTATGTAATCATGAAACAATAACAGGGTGAGGTGGGCTCGCATCTCTGTACTGTCTCTCGGCTATCCTGTTAGCCAGTAGAACAAAAGGGGCCAGAATGGGGACACCTTGAATCAATACAGCCGTAACCACCGACTAGGCTTAGAAATGGGAACGAAGCAGCATGGGGCTTACGCTCCATCCATACTGTAGCAATATGGGGACACTACCCGTACCTTGGATACTGTCCGTACCTTGGCCATTCAACCATAAGATAATGTCCGTAACTTGGACATCCGTCCATAAGACCCTAAAAATACGAAACTCTTGTTTAAAATCAAACAAGGTCTAATAAACAAAATAAGCCTACCTCGAAATACTTCCGAGGGCTCTATAATAAACAAAGGAATTGTCCCTTCTTCCAACACACATTCTGGAGGACAAAAGCAAAAGAACGCCAACATGCCATCAAAATACAAATACATGTTAAGTTGGGACATCCAAAACTCTACCCTAAAAATATGCAGTAATAATATCGAATCTAAAAGGATAATATCTCATTTTTACCTGTTGCTTTGAAATAGCAGCTGATTCAGATTACACAGCAAGATTGAAATAATTACCATTTCTAAAAGCCGGGATGGTGTGTTGGTGATGGCTACAGAGCGACAAAAGCAAAAGTGAGTCCACAGCGCAGAGAGCGAAACCTTAAAGCGATGTTGACAGCGCCTCCACAGAGCAGTCAAACGATAACAGGGTTGTGGACTAGAGAACGTAAAAATTACGCCAAAACGTTTCAAATAAAATATCAGGCCTGATCGATACGGGATCCGGTGACGATACGCCACACATCATATATCATATATAAAAAAGACATGTAACGAACTAAAAACGTTACAATAAGCATGTAGACTTGATAGCTATTATTAGACTGAAGTAATAAATTTGGATTTGTTTGTACCAAAAATACCAGACATCAATTTTCATCCAAATATCGAGGTTAGTTCAGAAATTAAAAAAATTGGAAAAACGAAATAAATCTAACAATACGTTGAAACTAAAAGAGTTTTGGACTTCCATTGTCTTTATTTAGTTTTTTTGTCACAACGTTTCGGTCAGAAAGATCACTGACCGTTATCAAGTGTAAACTGTATGGAATAATAATACATGGGGGGGGGTGCGTAGAAATTTCTACACCCTGTATCTCTGAAACGAAGTATTGTACTTCGTTTCGGACATAAATTTATATGTATAACTTTTTTACTTATTTTTATCTGCAGAATATATTGCTGGATTTAAATTTGGACGTATGTATAAAACAGTTCATCGGTCAAATAAATATTGTTTCTCTCTTTAAAAAGTTTTATTTGCATAGTTAAAATTCTATTTCTTTAAATATTTTCTATGTAGCAAGTTCCTTTAGTAAAAATAGATAAAAAATTTTACTTGCAGTAAGACCAAAACCAAGTCTGCTATTAAGCTACAAGGACAAGACCAAGACCTTGGTCTTCGTCTTAGTCTTGCCTTTGCTTATTACTATAAAAGGTGTCCCAGAAATTTTTTCAGCAAGTATTTTAAGGGGTGGTAGATTTCGATAAAACAAACAAATTTTGTCTTTATCGATTTTCAAATAAATTCAAAATAACGGAGTAATTTTGGACTTATTGTTATTTTTGGACTTTATTTATTTAAAATTTTTTTGCTAAAATTTTTAGGACCACTGGATCTTTTCTGGATTTTCTTTCTTGTAATTTTAATCTAATACCAAGAAATTATGATTTTTAACTAAAAACTAAAAAAAAATTCGCGAAAAAACCTCATAGGCGTGTTTCTGGAGTTGAACTATACTACCAGTTAAAATACTTGCACTTATTTCTGGGACACCCTGTATATGCCGCGATAGTTTAGAATTGGTAATTCTTGTCACGAGACTTGTTTTAATTTTTAGTTAATCAATAAGGGAATATTAGATTACCCTTTGGGAGTCCACGTTTTTGAACTGTAAAAAAATGAATATGGGAATGACGATTTGTGTGAGTTTTTGGGTGATTGCTTTAGACCTACATAATATCCTTCTCATTTTTGCTATAGTGTTAGGCGCTATTGATAGTCTGCATCTGATTTCAAATTCATATCGGGGTTATTCCCCTCCAGGGATTATTATCAAGGATATTATTTAAAACTTTGTATCCGGTTAACATTTACTAACCATAAAACCTACTGGTTTCTTTCAGGTACAACAACAACAATATCTCCGTCGAAGAAAAGAACAAAGAAAGCAATAAGCCTATACTAAACAGCGATCTAACAGTGTACTACGTAGGCAACAATAAAAACGAACGTCAAAGACTCCTTGTTCGTGGAGCGACAAGTCCGAGTCTACCAACGAGCGGACACCAGTTCGACGGAAACGCTGGTATAACTTGCAGTCCAGAAAATTGCGACTTTTGGCCCCACTGTGCACATAGAGACAGCTTACACAGGGACTCTCAGTTCGTGATGAGACAGTCGCAGTCGTATCCGTCTCATCAGAGGTCTTTGGATTCTGCTGTAGTTGTTGATGCTATTAGGTAAATAAGAAGTTATGGGTTTGTGATAATTGAGTTAATAAATATAGATGATAAAGAACATGGAAGGGGATTTCTAAAAAATAAAAAAAGTTTTTTTTTATTAAATAACTTTCTAGATGGAATTTACACAAACTGATTATAGGCTTGGTGCATTTCAGTTGATTTCAAAAAATTCCCACCGCAACGCTGTATTCGGAAAAAATCAGAAATTTGTATTTGCACACGGTCCCAGTTACTGTTCATGTTCTGATCGCATTAAAATAATATTGAAATCGTGGCGTTGTCATAATATTTAAATATTTAATTTTTTTGCTAGTGCAGTTATTGAAATTTTAAAACACTCAGGTACGATGTTTGTGTAATGTAACGCTGTTTCGGGTAGTCAAAAATAAATGAAAAAGAATCCGAACTAGGCGTCGCGCGTCGTGTTGTGACAATTTTAAAAAATGTGAATAAAATTGCCGAAAAAAGGTTAACACGTAAAGGAGAGTGTAATTAGGGCGTTATTGGGTGCAATAACATTCAAAAAACTCATTTTAATTGATTAAGTTTTTGATTAACTTGTTTTTCGAACCTTGGTTACAGTTACGTCATAATTTTGGACGCCATATTTGTTTTACCTATATTCTGAATTGGTCCCTAAGTTTCACAAATACAGTCCAATGTTTGTCTTTTTGTGTTCGTGCATATTAAGGTGCCATTACACGGCGCGTGGAGTGCCGCGCCTGGTCCGTCGCACATACGGCAAAATAGGTACTTTACAGCGACAAAAACATTTTCATTGATTTAATTTGGTATTTAACTTAGAATTTACATGCAAAGCATATTTTAGTACAGAACTAACCATATATTTCTAATATAGACCTAATTTGGCTTATAATTTATATACAGTGTGTAACAAAATTTCCAAATCCACCAATACGGAGTGTGGAGTCCTGCGCCAGGACGCTCCTGAACCGTGAACTCCACACGCCGCTCCACACGCTGTGTGAATGGGTCGGCCCGGGGATCGTCGGGCGGCGTGTCGTTCCCGTCAACTGGCGGTAAACTGTACACTCCAAAGCAAACGCGCCGCGAAAATTTTTCGCCAGTAATTTTTTGAATTTAGTTAAATTTAATTGTTACATAATTTATTTAAATATCTCCATTTAATGCGCAAATGCATAATTTGATATTCGCTTAAAGAAATCTATAAATATCATATTAATTAGTTGGAAAATTACTGAAAATACAGGGTATAGCCAATATACTCTACCATGTTATTGTTTAAAATAATAATTATTATTTATTCTAAATGTTATATAAAGGGTAAGGAACACTAGAGAAATTTTGCTGAGGTGACTTATGTATGTATGAGTAATAATTACTGCATTTTTTAATAATGTTTATTGCATTTATAGTTCTAAAGATGCGGTTTTCACATCGCTATGCTACTTTTTTATGAAACCAAAGATGTTACAAGAGTTGTCCTAGTCTTTTTAGTTCCTAAAATACAGGGCAAATTTTAACATGTTGCATTTTTCGATCCCATCGTATATTGGTTAACTTATCGAAAAGGTGAAAACTAAAAAATAAAAAACTCAACGAGACTAGTTGATTTTTTTTGTATGGGATCCAGTGACGTTAACTAGTTTCGCTTGTAACTCTCATTTTCGAAATCTGACATCTGTTTTGTAAATGACACCCAGTGTATTATGTTTTTATTTTATTTGCCTTGTTATGGGCTGTCTGAAAATACGATATATTCTAATTATTTTCATGATTATGGTAAGAAAATCATTATCATAAATGAACCTGGTTTAAAAAATTATTATTATCTTATTTAATTTAATTTAACCAGACGATTTTGCTTTCCACTCTGTTATCTTAATAAACTGCACTGAAAATAAAGTTGGGGAATAAATTATTCGATTGTATTAATTTAAACCCAATTTAAACCGATAATCTATGTTAAAAAGTTATATAATGCATTTTTTGTATCTGCCTGCCGGTCGGTCGTCCCATCGGCGCAGAATGCGGTGGATGATAAGTCTAGCGGACATGTAAAAATAAGCCAAAATGAGTACTGATTAGAATAACTAGTGTTCATTCCAACTGATATAAAAATTCATGAATTATTTTTTGGTCGTATACATTTTTATCAACCAAATTTGATCGTTTTCTGCTCAGCCAGGTAGAGGTCATAGGAAAACAAAATATTTTCAAGTGCATACATTCTATTCCAAAACCAAATTATGTTGGAGATTGCCAAAGCCATGTAAAAGGGCGTTTTAAAACCAACATCATCTCTTGACCGTTTTGTGGGATATCGTGATGCAATTTTTAGATCCCAACTCTCTTAGTAACGAAGAAAAGAAAGGTGTTAAGACCCATCTACGATAATTTTCCCTTGTTTTGAGTTCAAGCTTAAAAGGTGGAAGCCAAAAAGCTTTATTTCAATTGGCTAGTATAATAACGAAACAAAGACTCATTAAAGGGTTAATTGTAGAGCATTGAAAAGAAGAATTAGGTTTTGCAAGTACTATGAACTTTAGGGCTAGTGGGAGTAGGGATGCTGCTGTAATCGTTGAAACCTTAACTGAAACTCCATCGAAAGACACTGAATTTAAAAAATCAATGAATGACACCAATAGTCAGTTCGGCAATTTTTCTCAAGACAAAAACATCTAAATAATGTTCTAGTTAAATAAAGCATGACTATATGCAAAAGCCTTTTTTAATTTCTTATAATTTCTAATAAAAACTAAATGATTATTACTAGACTTAATAAAATTTTTATTAAATTTGTCTTAGATACTTACTATACAGGGTCCGGCAATAGTGCGTCGGGCATCTGTAGCTCCTAGAATAAAAAATTTGAGAATTTTGTTCAAGTACAAACCTAAAGTATTTGCAAAGATGTGTTTCAGGAAAATATTTTAACTTCTATAGGGTGGCTCAAAAAAGTGTGAGTGGACATGGATGATTTTTTTTAAATGGAACACCCTGTATATTATTGCATTTTTGGATTTCTTTCAGATCACTTTACATAACTCTGAGATACAGAGAACAAAGAAAAAATATTTCATATTATAGAAAGTTTGGCGTAGAATAATGAACATCCTGTATGATTTACGATTACCATATTTATAGCAATGTAAGGACAGACCATCTAAAGTAAATACCTAGTATAGTTTTGATTTCAGAACAGTTCTTGTATTTTTAATAATTTTTTTAAGAAGGGCTGAAAAATATATATTTTTGATTTATTTTTTAATATCTCTGAAACTATCGAAATATATTTATTCATATCTTAGAGTTATGTAAAGTGATCTGAAAGGAATCCAAAAATGCAATAATATACAGGGTGTTCCATTTCAAAAAAAATCATCCAGGTTCACTCACACTTTTTTGAGCCACCCTATAGAAGTTAAAATATTTTCCTGAAATACATCCTGATACATACTTTAGGTTTGCTCTTAAACAAAATTCTCAAGTTTTTTATTCTAGGAACTACAGATGCCCGACGCACTATTGACGGACCCTGTATATGAATTTACAATTATAGAGTGTTAAAATTAAAATTAAAACAACAATTTTTAAAATAAAATATACAGGGTTTCACAAGATCACAAAGTAATTAAAAAATAACTGCTAAAATATATTTTTTTAAGTATTTACCTGATATCATAATTTTATTTATTTAGTTTATAGTACGATTTTGTGTGTCACGTACGAATAATAAAATAGTTTTATTATCTTGTATTTATTTATTTATTAATAAATTAAGTTGTTAACAAATAAATTAATTTAACCCATATGGGTGCTATACATATATTAAACCATTTGCTGCGTTCGTAGATTTTAACTCCCAAACATCGCTCCTGAGGTTTTGTCCCGCTAAAATTACTATCCGCCGCACTATGCGACGCGTCTCGGTCCAGGCGCGTCACGCGCCTGGAGTTTACAAATGTTTGTCAACTACACGAGTCGTGAGAATGCGCTTTTAGACAAGGAAGTACGATATATTTTTCCAATGATAGCGATCGTTATATAAAAAGACAAAATATTAGTACGATCTAAGAAATAAAATGGACTAACGTTTATGATGAAAAAGTTCCGTTTTATATGATAAACAAGGACAAGAGGGAAAGTAACAATTTGTGACATCAGTCAAGGCATGAAACACAAAGCGTATATACAGGGTTCGGCAATAGTGCGTCGGGGTGCTAGAATAAAAAACTTGAGAATTTTCTATAGGTGTAGACATAAAGTACGTACGAGGATGTATTTCAGGAAAATATTTTAACTTTTATAGGGTGGCTCAAAAAAGTGTGAGTGGATCAGGGTGTTATTCTAAAAGGAACACCCTGTATATTATTGCATTGTTGCCTCCTTTCAGATCACTTTGCATAATCCTAGGATATGAGTTAATATATGTTGATAATTTCAGAGATATTAATACATAAATAAAAAAAATATATGTCTCAAACTTCCTTAAAAAATTATTACAAATACAAGAACTGGCCTGAAATCAAAACTAGAATAGGTTTTACTTTGGATGGTCTATACTTACTTTGCTATAAATATCGTAATATTAAATCGTACAGGGTGTTCAAAATCCTACACCAAACTGTCTAAAATATAAAATAATTTTTTATGTTTTTTTTTAAATAAAACATAACTTACCTATATTATTTTTTTTTATTAGATGGAGAATTAAAAAATGAACATTTTTTGTATTTAAAGTTTTTCAAAAATTTTAATGGTTTTGCATATACACGCAGTATATATCATATTTATGGTCGTATCTATTGTCGTATAATATCATATTATATCGACGGTAAAATACCAGAGAAAAAGTATTGGGTGACTTTGATAAAAATTTACTGTGGGAAATGCCATATGAAATAAAAATCCGCGAATATTTGCTAAACCGTTAAAATTGTTGAAATACTCTAAATACAAAAAATGTTCATTTTTTAATTCTCCATCTATTGAAAAAATAATATATAGGGTGTTCTATTTAAAAAAAGAGGAAAAATTATTTTATATTTTAGAAAGTTTTGCGTAGAATTTTGAAGATTCTGTATGATTTATGATTACCATATTTATATCAAAGTTAGTACTGACCATCTAAAGTAAATACGTAATTTAGTTAGTGCCGGAGAGCGGTGAAACTGTTTCTGATACTTGCTGCTTACGGAACGGTTCCTAAACATTAGTCGATATGCCCATATATGCTTTATCGAAAAAAAACTACATAATAATATTAACAATTCTTAATAAATATCGTTTTCTTTTCTCTCCTCTTGCAGGCCGCCGTTAACCAGCTCCATGGTCGCCCCCAAGCCCCAGGACCCCTACAAGCGCCCCATCCACATCGACGGTAGGGCGCGCAAGCCGCCCCCGACCGATTCGGTCCGCCGAACGAGCCCCGCGCGGCCGCCGTCAACAGGCGGCGGGGGCAGCATTCGACGCAACGGATCCGCCGACATACCGGTAAATTATCTGGTTGATTTCGTTGCATTCGTGTTTTCTCTTTTGATCTCTTTAAGCCTTTTCCTTATAGGTTGAGGATCTTTTGCTAGGTATTGCAACAGATGTTCGAAGTTATAATAAAAAGAATAAAGACAATACCGGCACCGGTGTCTTGTTTATTGATTTATTGCAAAGTTTATACCAGAATACCAGTACGTCTTGCCCTGTCAATTAAAAGACGTCAGATCCATACAAATTCAGAAACTTAATTATTTTTAGTATGTGCATATTAGTCCTAGATCATATTATATACTTGCGTGGATAAATTAACGCCATAAATTTAGCATTAAAAAATATGTCTCCAACATCATGACATGCCATTTTCAAACCTTCTTTATTGCACTTATGAAACGTTCAATAGGTTTGTCTTTCTTGAGGACCTTAATTTGCGCATGCGCATTAGAAATTACACGTATTTCCAAAATAATCACAATTTTATACGGTTTAGAATGTACAAATTATACATTGTTATAGAAACCAACTTTTCATTGTCATCTTGTCATAATCTTAAATAGCTATAGATAAAAGACTTATGTAATCTTATTTCCATTGTGTAACAACGCTTGTTTTTTGCGTTTTTATTTTAAGAATTGTATTAATTACTCTTATATCGATCGCTATTATATAGCCAAGGATGCAAGTGTGTTCAGTGAGAAGTTAATTTTAAGTTTATGCAACTACATATATTTTTTTTTTCATTGGACTTTCTAAATACTCGTAACAATGACTAGAAAATTTTTAGTGTATGAAAGTTCTAATATAAAGGTTCCCAAATTATCTTTTCATAGGCAAGTAAAGTATTCAGTTGTTCTTTTATTTATATTAAGCCACATGCATATTTTCTGGTTAGATTTCCTAAGAATATTGATATTCGTACGGAGTGGTTAAATGTATTTTTTATATAATTTAATTTTTGGTGACAGTAAACATTTAATTTATTGTTCAAATATATGCATTTTACAAATTAAATTTTTAAAATTAATGTTCAAATTTGGCGCGTGGACGATAGGTCCTCGACAAAGATAGATAGAGTAGAAGCACCACGTGTGCAACAAAAAAAGAAGATAAATGAAAGTCGTTGATATGTTGGCGACAGTTTCCATAGTGATTTACTTATCCACGTAAGTATATATGATCTAGGATATTAGTAATATCATTTATGACATACATATCGTCAAACGTGATTTACTTCCCATATTAAATATTTTTGATTCCAAACATTAATTTTTACTGTAATCATGACATAAATATGATCTCATAGAAAACCAGACGAATCAAAAAATTTAATGGAAACGATAAAAATTGATATTTCTTTGTGCTGCGTCTTCTTTTCCTTTTCATTCACTTTCTTTTTCTTTTTATAGTCCCTTTCGCCTAATTTAACACAGCCAAAAAATGGGATATACGTCAATATGAAGGAACAATTTAGTTCTCAAAGCTTCCGACGACGTTAAAGTTCTTCTTATCTGCAGGTTAAGAAAGGGGACTTTTATATATGTCAATTAATTTTGAATTTCACGTCTCGGGATTTAGCTAGAGAAGTTTTATATTGTGTAAACGACATAAAGAATGTCAGGGAACTAAGATTATTTGCCGAATTAACAAGACGACTTTTAACAAGATCTTTTTTGAAATTCAAGGACTCCCTGGCTGAGCTTGCATTAGCAATATCGAGAAAAATACAGTATACACGGTGTCTATATAAAATGTTAAAAAATGTCCATATAAACCAGAATAAAAAAAATGCAAACTGGGATTTCGTAATTATTATATTATTTTGTCGATTAAATTAGTGAAAATTTGAGCCTTGATGAACTCTAAGGGCATCATGCTTTGAAATCTAAATAAGGTTCGAATACATCTGATGATATTAAAAAAAAACGAATTTTCCTCATTTTTTTTTCTCTTTTAATTTTTTGATTCTATTTTCTTACTCTATCGAGTCAAAAAATAGGTGTTTTCGGTTAAAAAAGAGAAAGAAAATTTCGAACACCCGGTACATAAAAACCTTCAATATATCAAGCGTTGTTGGTACATCGCCACACACTCTATGACGTTGTAAGACACAGTCTTACAGCGTCTAGTTATCTGAAGCAAATCCAGTTTTAATATCTTAGATGAGTTATCCATAATCATGCATAAATTAATGTAGCCTAACCATATAGAATAATTTGTTTTGGCCAGCAGATACAAGCAAAGTGCAAACAATCCATTTCTTTATTTGCAGATTGGTTTGATATGTGTGACTTCGTGGAATTCCTTCATAATATCATTAGACCCCGCGTCAGTGCTCAAACTCAAACTGCCTCCTATCAAACCCAAATTGAAATCCCCTATTATATAATTATGTACACCCTTAACTCTTTGTTCACTAGCAAATTCAAAAAAGTCAGTATAATCATTAATTGTTAGAGAAGGAGGAATATAGACTACTATATGATTATTTTGTTGTTTCCAGTAATAAATATATGGAAACATTCATGGGTATTGAGGAGGCTCAAGGAATCAATTGTATTTGGCACTTGCTTTACATTGTACGACTTGTCGACGAAAATATTGTATCATATGAGAATTTTGTATCTTTCACAAAGTCAGCAATACTATGAGAACTATAAGAATTACAGTATTCTCTGAAATGTTAAGAAGTCTATATTTGTTAGAAAATAACGAAATTACTAACACTGGAGATTTTCTTCATGATTCTATGTCTTCTATGTCTTTCTTATTTTATATAAACATCGAATTGAGAAAGACTCTAAAAAACTATTACAGTTGAGGGTTGGAACAGCAAAGTAAAACACTAATTCACTAACAATAAACCAAAACACTTTACTTTTGCGCTAAAAAAGTGCAAAAGTAAAGTGTTTTGGTATTTTGTGGTGAATTAGTGTTTTATTCTGCCGAAGAATTGTTATTATAAGTCTGCATAATGTTAATCAATACCACTATGTATAATACCATCAGTAACATTACAAATTTCCTGTACAGATCCTGACAGTGTCAGCTCGAGATACTTTTACCTAGTTTACCTAGTTATGATCACCATGTTTAATATATGCCGCAGAAAATTAATATTAATCAAATTAGAATAATAATTTAAAAATCGATTCCATAGGATCTGAAATAGATGTAAGATTAAGATATTGAAATAAATTTTCATACATTTTGAATATAAATGATAATGTCAGTGGTATTTTCTTGTAATTTAATTTCAATAAATCCTAAAATAAGCCAGTAAAACCCCTCTGGCCAGAGAAACATATTTCATTTTTCTCTCCAGAAATTTTATTTTTCTCTTTATATATGTTCCAACCGGAAATGTAAAGTTAGATTTATTTATCTTAAATGCGGGAGCTGAAAAAAAAGTAATTAAATTAATAAAATCCGGGTATGTTTAATAAATCCTTCTAGGATAAATTTAGGAGCCTTGCAATAAAAATCTAGAATTTTATTTTTATTTAAAAATTCCAAGCTAATTTTTTCTTAATACTGTCTAATTATAACATAAACTTGTAAAGTATATAGGGTGATTCACAACGATGGCACGTTAGACGTTCAGACGCCTTCTCCATCTTTCTAAAATACTTTCAGCGTTACAGTGTTGCCACATCATTTGAAAAGTGGCAGTATCTTTTTTATTTTAAATAGAACACTCAGTATATTATTACATTTTTGAAAACTACTTTTATATCCTATAATTTTCTATTATACTAACCTTATTGATGGGCTATAGATAATATATAAAAAATAATTAAATTGTCTGGTTAATTCTAAAAACAACCTTACTTCTCTGACATTCTTTATAACGTTCACACAATATAAAGCTTCTCTAGCTAAATCCCGAGGAAAAAAATTTAAAAAATAAGTCCCCTCTTCTTAAACGTGCAGATAAGAAGAACTTTACACGCCGTTGGAAGCTTTTCTGAGAACTAAATTGTTCCCTCATATTAACGTATATCCGATTTTTTGGCTGTGTCATATTAGGTGAAAGAGACTATAAAGAGCAGAGGAAAATGACTGAAAAGGAATAGAAGACGCAGCATAAAGAAATATCATTTTTATCGCTCCTAAAATTTTTTGACCTCTAAGTATTTATGTGGTCTCCTTTGAAATTATATTTATGTCAAGATTACAGCAAACATTGACGTTCCTAATCAATAGTTTTTAGTATAAAAAATAAACTACGTTTGTTAATCCGTACGCCATAAATGATATTACTAATATACGCATTACTAAAAGCAACAAAAGAATGAAACTCATAATTCACATTTGACAGCAGGAACAGCATAGACCAAAGATTTAGACATAGAATGAGAGAGATCCGTAACTGGTCCCAAATCTCTTAGATATCGTTTAAAAATAGGCTGGTCTAAGAGGGGACCACAGATGACGCTAATACAAAAATGCTTCGGATAATATGTACATAATAGTACTGGTTATGATAGTTATTTTATTCAAAAGTTCTGAATTACCTGGTAAACGTAATCTATCAACGATCGCTTTTTTATTATTGAGACGCTGAGTATAAAATGTCTTGCTTTTATTAATAATTCATTAGAGCGATAATATTTTTTATTTTTAAAATTTGTAATTGAAACTAATGATGCACATTTAAACAATCAGAGAGAATATTTAATGGTGTATATTAATCTAAGTGTATTTGTTGCGAAAAATTATATAAATATTTAGACAAAAAAAGAAATTGATTTATTTACAAATATTAACTTTTTTAGGCAGTAATAAAAATGTCTTCTTATTAATGATATACCTGGTGCGTCTCAAGGGTGGCTCACCTCTATAACTTTTTAATTTTTTCAGATAAAACAACGAGATTTGGTATGTTAATATATGACATTAATTGGGATTGATTGACATATTCAATTGCGGTTTCACAGGAAATGGCTACAACTTTTGATTTTTAAATAGCACCCTCGGTATTTTTTTACTTTATTTGATAGAAA